ATGCTTAAGAATCCTTTGTTTTGCCTCATATAGTTTGTAACCTTAAAAAGGTTAAAAATTGGCAGGGGGAGATTAGACATGCCTGTAACCCCCAGCATTCAGGAGGCTGAGGCAGGAAGATCACTGTGAACTGAATTCTCTACCAATCTGAACTACAAGCGAGACCCTGTCTGTTGTTTTAGCACTTCGGAGGCTGAGTTCAACAAGATTGCTTGAGTCCCAAAGTTTGAGCCCAACATGGACAACAGAGGGAGGAGGAAAGGAGGGGAGTGAAAATAAATGGTACTACATTTGCGTAGTGCTTTAGAATATTTTGTTTTGAGCTGAAGATATAGCTCAGCAGCATTAAGTGCAAGGTCCTGAGTTTGATTACCTCCCCACCCCCACCCCCCCAGTTTTTTTTTTTTGCTTTATTTTGTAGTACTGGGGAATGAACCCAGGGCTTTCACACTGAGCTACACCTCCTTCTTTCCTTCTTTCTTTCTTTTTTTGGAATAGGGGATCAAACTCAGAACCTTGTGCCTGCCAGGTAGGTGCTTATGCCACTGAGCTAAATCCCCAGCTCCCCTCTTTCTTTTTTCTTGCTTTCTTTCTCAGTGTTTTGCTACATTGTCTGGAGTACATTCAAATGTATGATCCACTTCCTTGAAGTTTTTTGGGGGGAATATGGGGAATCAAACTTGGGACCTTGAGCTTGCCAAGCATGCACTCATGCCACCTGAGCTATGTCCCTGGCCACTTAGGATCCCCTCACCTCAGCCTCCCACATAGCTGAGATTACAGCTATCTGTATCTTGCTAGTGCTTTAGAATCTTTAAGAACCATCTCATTGATTTTTAAAACAACTCTGAGAGAGAAAGTAAAGTAGATTTTAATATTTGATGGAAGAGGTAGCTGAAGTTGACTGCTGGAAAGTGACATTTGTAGGGAGGTCTCATAGCTATGTCACATTTGGGTTTCATTCAGATCTTCAGATTCCACAAACCCATGTGGCTGGTGGTGCTTGGGAATCCTAAATGTCCAGAACTTTTGAGGCACAGTCAGTTGTGTAGCATGCCTAGTGCCATGGGTTCAGTCCCTAGTATTGCCTAAAGACTGATTTAGGAGTCATTAAAAGAAGGACCCTAACTTGGAAGTCATTGATACTAGGTGAAAGAAGTGTCTGTTTGATCAGGGAGTTAAAGTATATATTAATTTTTCATACAGCCTTCCACATTTACTTGGTTGAAAAATAAGACTTTTAAGTAGGAGAACTTTTCTACTACTAAATTCCCTGCCACAGAGATATACACAGTTAAAGAACTCTTGTGAACTTGAAGCTATTATATTACTGGCTATGCTATGGAAAATGTATTGAGACCTTTATTCTTCAGCTACTTAGAATTTGTAAGAGGCATACAAACAATTTTAACAAAAGATAGAAGATAAGACAGTGCGTGGTTGAGGTAATAAAAGTGAACCATTTTGGGGGCTGAGGATTTAGCTCAGTGGCCTAAGTGCCTGCCTGGCAAGTGTGAGGTTGTGAGTTTGATCCCTGGTATTGGGAAGGGGGGGACCATTTTGGAAAACTAGAGTGTTGGAATCCATAGTGGTTACTTCAGTTAGATCTGTGGAAATAAGTCACTGGCTTGGCCTCCTGAGTTGCTGTGATTACAGGTGAACCTTGGTTCTCTAGGATTTTTTCTCCTTGGGTGTTTTGATACAGGGTCTTGCTGTACAATTCAAGCTGGCCTTGAACTCTCTTTGTAACCCAGGCTGTCTTCAAATTTGGGCTCTCAGCTTCCCAAGTACTGGGATTATAGGCATACACCATCACACCCAGCCCTAAGATGTTTTAATTGACAAATAATTATGTATTTATGCAGGTCAGTGTGATATTTTGATATGTTTGCTTTGGATTTCCTACATGACAGTTAGCTGCAGATAAAGTTTGTTTCCAGTTAGTTTCTTTCTCTCTTTTATTAAAAAGATTTTTCTGGTATTAGTGCTCTAGCCTGGGTACGGTAGTACAGTATTGAGTAGAAATGGTTTTGATACAGAAAAGACTAAAAATAATGGTCCACTGGGGATTTAGCTCAGTGGCACAAGCACTGGCCTGGCAAGTGTGAGGTCATGAGTTCGATCCCTGATATTAGTGTGTATGTGTGTGTATGTCCATCATGTGTGCTTGATGTCAGCTTTTAGGTTTTAGAAGAAACTGTCAATATAAATTCTCTTTAGATTTTGAATTGCCATAGTGTTTTTATAATATGATCATTGAATAGTGGATTTTATTAGTTGCTTTTCTTGCATTCTTTGAGGTGACTCATATTTCCTTTATCTTACAGTGAATGACAGCTAACTATACTGTTTTAATGTGTTCTGGGTTTATCCCAATACTATTTTTTTTTTTTTTTTTTTTGCAGTACCAGGGATCGAACTCAAGACCTTGCACTTGCCAGGCAGGCATTTATGCCTCTGAACTAAATCCCCAGCCCCAATACTCGACTCCCATTAATTTTGTTTGTCCTTTTAAGAATTCTTGTGTAGTGGTACACTCCAATAAATCCCCATCATTCTGGAGGCTGAGGCAGGAGGATGGTTGCAAGTTCAAGACCACCTTGGGCTACAAAGTGAGCTTAAGGCCAACCTGAACTGCGTAGTGAGACCCTGTCTCAAAAAGACACACACACAAAAAAGAATTCTTGCTTCCATGTTCATGAAGAAGATTGGCCTGTAATTTTCTTTTATTGCAGTGGTCATCTGTAGACTTTAGAATATTCTTTGCTTTATATTTCAGAGTATTTGTATGCAAGACAGTTGTCTTTGTTGAAAGTTTATTGTAGGACATACCTTTAAAACGAATTCTGTGTGATGTTTTCTTTGTGGAAAGGATTAGCCAAGGATTAATTTTCTCTGATATCAACAGGAGTCCTCAGGCTTCCCTTGTCACTTTCTCTTTCTCTTTCTCTTTTTCCTTCTCTTTCTCTTTCTCTTTCTCTTTCTCTTTCTTTCCAGACAGGGTCTTGCTGTTAACCCAGGGTGGCCTCTTGGTGTTCCTTCTGCTTCAGCCTCCTCAGCTGGGATTACAGGCATGTACCACCACACTTGGCTGGGCTGTCTGTATAATTTTTTTTTTCTTGTCTTTTTCGTTTTTATCGGTACCGGTGATCGAACTCACGACTGCCTGCTTGCAAGGCAGGCGCTCATGCCGCTGAGCTAAATCCCCAGCCCCCATCATTTTTTTTTTTTTATCGGTACCAGGGATTGGACTCATGACTGCGTGCTTGCAAGGCAGGTGCCTATGCCCCTGAGCAAAATCCCCAGCCTCATGTATTATTTCTTTTACAGTTTTTTGCTTGTTTGTTTTGAGATTAGAGTGTTGTCTGTGTTTAGGCTGGTCTTGAACTCCCTAGCCCAGAACGTTGGCCTGAAACTCGTGGGCATTCTCTTGCCTCAGTCTCCCGAGTGCTGGTATTACAAGCCTGCATCAGCACTTTTGTACTTGTATAAATGAGAAGCCTCAGTTAAAAAGAACTAGCTCGTTTTGTTGAGTTTTAAATTATTGTACTAGTATTTTCACTCCTTTCCCCTTTCAACTGGAGTATTTTAAGACCTTTTTTTTTTTGGATAGAGGAGTCTGTTTTACCCAGCTGTCCTTGAATTTGGCGTCCTTCTGCCTCACCCTCTGATAGAGTATTTGAAGGCAAATAAATCCTAGCCACATTATTTCATCAGAAATTTGTCAGTGGATCTCAGTGAGAAGAATTTATTTTAAAACTGGAATCCATACATAGTTATTCTCTACAATATTGTTGTTGTTATTTGGTTTTTTGAGAAGGGTGTTTTTTCATAGCCCAGGCTGGCTTCAAATTTGAGGTGATCCTTCTCCCTCAGCTTTCCAAAAATTATACCATGTGAATCTTCACATTCTAATTAAAAGTCACTTCAATCTGCATTATAGACACATCTATGGAGTAGTCTACAATAAATTAAAATGTTTTTTGTGTGCTAGCTGTGGTGGTACATGTCTGTAATCCCAGCACTTTGGGAAGTTGAGGTAGGAGGATTGTTGTGAGTTTGAGATGAACTTGGACTACATAGTAAGTTCAAGGCCAACCTGAACTATGGAGCAAGACCCTGTTTTAAAAACCAAAAAATAAAATACTTTTTGTGAATGATGTTTTTGGTAGAGTTTTGGAAATACAGGCATGTATCACCACAACTCTTTAACCTGTAGATAATAAAGATAATGTATCTTTATTTATTTTTCCCTGTTCTTTTTCCCTTTCTTCAAACTTTCTTCTCCTTGCCACTTAGAAAAGCTTTGTTTCCATTTTTTACTTCTATAATACTATTTCTTAATATCACTCATTATAATCTGCAGTCTCTTAATTGTCATTTCAAAATGTGTTTTTATACTTGATTCATTTGAATCAGGGGCCTACGTAGAAGAACAAAGAACTAGCCTGCCCAAAATGCTGATAATTAGTGCTGATATTGAAGGGCCCAGCATCCATCTAATTCACATGCCTTTTCTTGGCTGGTGGGGTTGGTTTGTATGTTGAGGAGCCAGAGTGTCCTATAAGAACACACTTTTGTTTGAAGAGAACTCTTCTATGTACTCTGAGTCATAAAAACGAACTTTTTCACTAGTTAAGACACCTCTCTCTAAGAGAGGTGGTAAAGGGCAGCATTCCTTGCTTTCTTGGCGCTCGAACTGAATTTGTAGGTTTCATTTTCCAAATGGCTGGTCTGCAGTACAAATAAAAGGGTGATATTTCATTGAGTGAGGCTTGAAAGTTTTGTTTTTGTTTTTGTTTTTGTTTTTGTTTTTGTTTTTGTTTTTGGTAGGGGGATCGACCCACCACTGTGCACTTGCAAGGCAGGAGCTTATGCTGCTGAGCTAAATTCTCAGCCCCTGGAAATAATATTTAATGCCTACTAAGAACTAAAATATAAACCAGTTTCTGATTTTGATTGTATCAAGCTTTAATCTTTATTTTCCTCTTTGTTTTTAGATTTTGGCTCTTTGTTTGACCTGGAGCATGACTTACCAGATGAATTAATCAACTCTACAGAATTGGGACTAACCAACGGTGGTGATATTAATCAGCTTCAGACAAATCTTGGCATGGCACAAGATGCAGCCTCTAAACATAAACAGCTATCAGAATTGCTACGGTCTGGGAGTTCCCCTAACCTCAATATGGGGGTTGGTGGCCCAGGCCAAGTCATGGCCAGCCAGGCTCAGCAGAACAGTCCTGGATTAGGTTTGATAAACAGCATGGTTAAAAGCCCAATGGCGCAGGCAGGCTTGACTTCTCCCAACATGGGGATGGGCACTAGTGGACCAAATCAGGGTCCCACACAGTCCACAACAGGTATGATGAACAGCCCAGTAAATCAGCCCGCCATGGGAATGAACACAGGGATGAATGCTGGCATGAATCCTGGAATGTTGGCTGCAGGCAGTGGACAGGGGCTGATGCCAGGCCAAGTCATGAACGGTTCGATTGGAGCGGGCCGAGGACGGCCTAATATGCAGTACTCAAACCCAGGCATGGCAAATGCTGGCAACTTAATGACAGAGCCACTGCAGCAGGGCTCACCTCAGATGGGAGGACAGACAGGAATGAGAGGCCCTCAGCCTCTTAAGGTAAGTGGCCTTTTGGTTTGTACCTGTTGTGTGTTCAGCTGATGGGGGAGGGCTGGAGGTCAGTGATTCATTCTTATATCATATTTAGTCTTACATTGTATAGTATTTCCTACATATTCTGTGGTAGAGATTTACTTTGTTGTCACAAGTTTTAAGACACTCTTAAATGTAAGCAAAAGACTTATTTAACATATTCTGTAACTTTATAGTTTTTTCATAAAATTGCTAGCCAATTCTTATTTTCTGTGGCTGTTAGAGTATTTTTATTTCTAAATTCAGATTATATATTTCGTTACAAGCATGTAATTTTAAGGTATTTGACATTACACTGACTCCAGATAGAGATTTCTGTTTCTACTGCTTAGAATGTATGTCTGCTCTTAAGAATCATCTACTAGGGGCTGGGGATTTAGCTCAGCCTGCCTTGCAAGCTGAGCAGTCATGAGTTCGATCCCTGGTACCGATAAAAAAAAAAAAAAAAAAAGAAAAAAAGAATCATCATCTTAGAAATTGTTAACTTTTTTTTTTTTTTGAGACAGGGTCTTGCTATGTAGTTCAAGTTGGCCTTAAACTCAGTGTGTATCTTTTTTTTTTGTCTTTTTCGTTTTTTTTTAATCGGTACCAGGGATCGAACTCACGACTGCCTGCTTGCAAGGCAGGCGCTTATGCCACTGAGCTAAATCCCCAGCCCCCTCAGTGTGTATCTTAAGCTGATCTTAATCTCATGATGATGCTCAGCCACCCACGTGGTGAAGTTGTAGACATATTCCACTTACTATTCCTGGTACTTTTATTAGTTGATGGACACAAAGGTGGTGTTGTGGGTTTTTTTGTTACTTTTTGGTATAACACCTAAGCTAGCATTCTAATTATTTGAATTAAATTTTGGGTATCTTTTGGAAGGCTTTTCTTAAGGAGTCTACTTGGTTAGCTTTATTCAGTATAAAATACTGAATACATGTTTTTGATCTTTTAAGTGTGAAATCTGTATACATAATTAAGACATAAATACATCATTCCTCATTCATCCATCCATCCATTCAGTCATTATAGTACAAGAGATTGAACTTGCGGCCTTAAACATACATACCAGCCAAGTGCTCTACCATTGTGTTGCATCTTTAGCCATTTCCCCTTTTCAAGGTATTTTTATTTTGAAAACAGGATTTCAAGAAGTTTTTCAGGCTTGCCTCAAATTCTTCACAGTAAGAGATTTTAAGTATATGCCACTGTGCCCAACTTAATTGTTTCCTTATGATGAGAAGAAAAATCTGCCCTATAAATGTTCCTGGTGAAAACTGAAAGAAATCCGAGTTAAGCTATTCCAACTTTATTCATCCTGAAATTACATTGTAGGGACTGAACAGATTTTGGCTCAGGATACGGGGATGCTGCTTGTGAAAGACTTTAAGTTGCATCAGTGTGTTCTGCATATATTTTGTGGAAGATTTTACTTATTTGGAAGCTCATTAATCTGCACATTTACTAAATCAGTGAGAGACTGATACAAGGGACACAAGGTTAGAATGCATGTTATATAAAGGCAGACAATATAATTTACCAAAATTACTGTTAGGGGCTAACGTGGATAGTAATTGGTGTTTAATAGGTCATTGACTGTAACAGGAAACGTAAGTAGCTAATTGTATTCCTACTATATAGGTGAAGAAACTGTCACAATATATCATGAATTAAAAGCTCACATTTCAGTTGTAGTTAAATATCATTCTAATGTTTTTATTAAGAAAATGATGTAGAAACTATACAGCATAGAGTATAAAATACAACATAGAGCCTGAGCATGTGATGCACACCTATAATCCTAGGACTTGGAAGGCTGAGGCAGGAGGATGCCCACGAGTTCAAGGCCACCTTGGGCTACAAAGTGAGTTCAAGTTCAGCCTGAACTACATAGTGAGACCCTGTCTCAATAAAACAAAACAAAAGCCTAAAAACAATATAGTAATAGTTGCAGTGTGATTTGCTTTCTGACTGACTTGTAAATTTCTCAAAAGGTGATCATTGCTAGAACAACACTAAGAACAAGAGCCATAGCTATCTCTGTTACCCTTTCTGTAGTCCTGCTCTAATGATGCCCTGCTCCTTTATAAACACAACCCTAGAGCATCTTTATTGTTTTTCACTTAAGTCTGGGAAAAAAGAAATTCTAACCCAGCTTTCCTGTATGTCTAGCTACCTCCCATGCTTTTGTTCTACCTCCCATGCTTTTGTTTCTTGGATCCAGATAGGTTTGTGTCCAAGTTTTTTTTTTGTTTTTTTTTTGTTTTTTTTTTTTTATCAGTACCGGGGATCGAACTCACGACTACCTGTTTGCAAGGCAGGCGCTTATGCCGCTGAGCTAAATCCCCAGCCCCCCAAATTTTTTATACCTGATGAAACAGGGTATTTGAATCTTAAAGACTGAGGTTGAAGCTTAGTTGAAGAGTGTGTGCCTTAGTATGTGTAAGGTCCTGCCTTCAATATTCATCACATACACTTGTTTTTTTGGTACTGAGGATCAAACTCACACTTTCCTGCTCGCCAGGCAGGCGCCTATACCATTGAGCTAAATCCCGGCCCTACATACACACTTTTAAAAAAATCTCAAATCTGACAGTGCCTTTGGAATACACAGTCCCCACTGAAATGGGAGTCTTCATGTTGTGTCAGTTTGAGAGTTCCCTTTAATTAATATTAGTTGTGATGACATTTGGCAAGAGATGTTTAAGAGACTGCAAACTTCAGTCTGTTGATTCTCTTTTAAAGTTAACTGTTCTTGCCATAGGTAAGGAGTCCAGCAGGTAGGAAAGACCAGTTAAAAGTCCACTAGGTGGAAGGCAGGAAATAAGAATCTTTATGGAGAGACTGAGAGAACGTTGAGGATTTGGTGTGGGTTTGGATTTTGGGTCTTCCCTCCTTTTCCATCAGGTTCTCAGTGCTTTAACACAGTGCCTGCCATATGACATCAATCGGGACATACAGCATGAACACTTACAGAACCCAGCAGATAATAGGGAATAGCTGAAAGTAGCTTGATTCCTCTGCCCACCTCTGCCCTTCAGTCTTGGAGCCACACATGCAATATTGACTCTTTGTTATTTGTGCTATCTGGGAGTCAAACTGAGACCTGTAGGGATTTTTGTCCCTGTTTTTGGGGATTGAACTCATGACCGCCTGCTTGCAAGGCAGGTGCTTATGCTGCTGAGCTAAATCCCCAGCCCCTTTTTGTCCCTGTTTTAATGCTCCTAAACTGTTAACACCTTTCCCACTTGTCAGTGTTTGTCTCTGTCATGTGTTGTGTGTGGATTTCTATGTTTCCCACCTTTCTGCCTTTAATGTATTGGAAACTAAACTTAGAAGTAGCCTGTGGAGTTAGATTTTTATTTTCTTTTCTTTTAGCTATTTAGAAGTGTTATGGCCTCCTGGACCTGTCTTTTCATTGTAGGTGGATATCTGTTTGATAGTGGGTAATTGGACATCGGAGAAGGAAAGAGATCTGATAACTAAAATGTAGCAGAAATTAAAAGTATATTCCCCTTTCATTCATGGAGGAGAAATAGGACAGAGGTTTAGTACTTTTTTTTTTAAAATCGGTACCGGGGATTGAACTCGTGACTACCTGCTTGCAAGTCAGGTGCTTATGCCGCTGAACTAAATCCCCAGCCACCGGACAAAGGTTTAGAAAATAAGGAAACAAAGGATACTGACAGGGAAGTTGCTTTTGTCTTCTCACTTGGACAGCAAAATCTTAGGTATACAATCCAGAGAATCTTTGTTAGAGTGACCAAAAATAATAGAAAATAAATTACTGCCAGGCCTGATGGTGCTTACCTCTAATCCCTGCACTTCAGAGGCATAGGCAGGAGGATCACTGAGTTTGAAGGCAGCGAGCTGGGCTTTATAGTGAGTTCAAGGCCAATCTGAACTGTGTAACAAGATCCTGTCTCAAAACCAACAATAAAAAGAAAAGTTAAAAAAAAAATCCCTCGAAAGCAATAAATTACCTATTTGATCAGCAATCAGTGCATCCTGTGTAGTCGAGATCATGGCTTGCTGTCAGTGAGCCAGAGTTTCTAGATAGTGTATCATGATTGAGAGGACAAGCATGTCAGGCAGTGTGTAAAATGTAGTGGGTCTAGACAGGCAGGCAAGGCAAGGTCACCTGCGAACAGTTGTGAAGTACCAGATTATATTGGGATTCATCTGAATGAACACATTATGCTTATTAATAGGCACCATGGTAGTTTATAAATCCTAGCAATTTTTTTTTACTCAAATAATGGATACTTACAAGCATAATTTACTATCGCTTTGGTCTTTTATTGTCTGTCATACTAGGCTTTTATGCTAGATCTCTAATGAATCTGTGCTAATAATTAAAGAAATAAATGAAATAAAACTCCCCCAGGTATAAACATGTATATATTATTGGGGTTACATTAGTATAAATATTACTAATTTACAAGCATGCATATCAGGAATACTTGCAGCTGTATCTGAAGCTACCAAAAATAGCTTGAACTCTTATTTCTGTGTTACTGTCCTTGCATTCTGTTTGTGCATGCGTGTGCATACTGCTGAGAAACAGACCAAGAGCCTGGTGAATACCAGCTAGACCAGTGTGCTACCACTGAACAATATCCCCAGCTTGTTCTTAAAATCTTACAGATCAGATTTACTGAGAAAATATCACTTCTTGGAGAGGAGATTGAATCAGTGAGTTGTTTACTCTGAATGCTTCCCTGTCAGGCCTCCCTGTTCTTTATGCTTTCACCGAATCTTAGCCACTTACCCCCGTTCACATGTTCTCTTCATCCATAGTACATTAGGCTTAGTCTGTTTTATCTCATCTGAAAATGTAAATGTTTAATTTTTCTGCTTTCCCATCACATGCATGCCATGGTTATGTTTATAAAAATATTTGGAATCTAGATTCTGCTTATGTTTTAAAGAACCAAATTTTATTTATAAAGATTCGTATAATCTATTTTGTACCTTTATACTGTTTTCTGAGTAAGGTATAAGGTTGGTGATTTGAGGGTATCTAGATGATAGGGATACAAAGGGTAAATGAATTAAAATTGTTTCCTTTTATGAATAGTCTGCCTGTAGAAGAGTCATTTTTTTAAATGTATGTATATATGTGTATATGTGTGTGTGGATATTCACTTATTTTGAGGCAGGGTCTTCCTATGTAGTACAGGCTGGCCTTGAACTTACTATGTAGTTCACACTAGCCTTGAACTTGTGATCCTCCTGCTTCAGTCTCCTGAATGCTAGGATTACAGGAGTGTACCACTAGGTCTGGCAAAAAGATCCATATATTTTAACAAATTAAATTTTTAAATTTAGTTTGAAATTTTATTTAGTACTTTTTTGTGGTACGTAATATATTCGTCAGGGAGAATTGATTTCCCTGTAAGAAATTATTTTATCACTTTAGTTATATTATGAATAAAGGCATGAATACTTGTGGCAGACTAGGAAAAAAGCTGCATAACTTTCTAGACAAATGCACAGATGCTTCACAAAAATAGTTTACAACTGAATTGAAAACAACAGGTGGCATCTACAGGTAGTGCATCATGATTCATTCTTAGTTGTGGTGGTACCAAAGTAAGTAAAAGAAGAGGAAAATGGGGGCTGGGGATTTAGCTCAGCAGCATAAGCACCTGCCTTGCAAGCAGGCGGTCCTGAGTTCTATCCCTGGTACCGATTAAAAAAAAAAAGAAGAGGAAAATGAATTGCATGTTTGTAAGATTAGTATTCTTTCCTTTATAAGTTAGCATTCAGAGTCAAATGGGAAAAAAGTGTGCCACATAGGAAAATGGACAGTTTAAGGCAAAATGCTGAAGGCCCCACAAAGGATGATTTCAGATTTGCAAACTGTGGGTACAGGAAGTAATAAAACATCAAAAGTGGCTATGTGTGGTGGCATAAGCCAGTAATGGGAGTGCTCAGGAGCATGAGGTTGGAGGATCCCCAGCAGTCAGAGGCCAGCCTGGGCTACATAATGAATTCAAGGCCACCCTAGGACACATAGCAAGACCCTGTCTCAAAAAACACAAACCAAACAAAAACCCAAAAGTGTATCTTCTCCCTCCACCCATGTTATTAATAGGGAATGGTGATGGGGATTGGATTAAGACAGACAAGGGGCAGGGATACATGAGAAATATGTATTTAGAGGTAGAATTGAAGGATTTTGATAGGATTGAATCTGGCAGAGATGGATAGCAATGTGATATGGCTCCTTTCTAGTTGAGCAGTAGCTGTAGCGTTCTGGAAAAAAATATTAGCTGGATATGCCTATAATCCCAGCACTTGAGAGGCTGAAGCAGTTGGATCATGAGTCTGAGCTACACAGCAAATTTTAGGTTATCTTTAATTACCTACCAAGACTCTTGTCTCAGCTGGGAATGGTGGTGCATATTTGTAACCCTATTACTTGGGAGGCCGAGGCAGAGAGAATGTTGTAAGTTCAAGGCTATCCTGGGTGGTACATAGTGAATTCAAGGTCAGGCTGAACTACATTGTAAGACCCTGTCTCAAAAGACAAAGCAAAACAAAAAAAGAAAGCCGTCTCAATCATCACCCACCCTGTCTTAAGTCACCCAATTAAAAAGAAAAAGAATCGATCTCCCAAAGCACCACTTTTCTACTTTAGATGGTGGAATATACATTGAACGATTTTGACATGTCTGTTCTCTACTTAGGAATTAGGCACATGGAGAATTGAATTAGCTGTAGTTTATGCATTAAACGAAAGTGTCTTGTATGCTTTATAATGTAGATCAATGGCAGATCTTGTTTGGTAAGGCTAGTTATTTGAAGATAGTTATAATGGTTCTAAAGCAACTGTATCTCTAGTATTTGTAGAAAATAGGGGTAAATTCACTGTCCTTCAGATTTATTTATTTATGGTACCAGAGATCGAACTCACGACCTGCACTTGACAGGCGCTTGTGCCACCGAGCAAAATCCCCAGCCCTCTTAATCTTGAACATCCTTTCATTGGCATACTTCATTCAGTTTTCCAATAAGAGCAAAGGGTTTTCTTTAATATTTTGTGAACTAGGAATTGAAGCAGGAAAGGAATAACAATATGGGGACTAACTGGGAAATATAATGTGATTTGTTTTTCTTCCTCTTAGATGGGAATAATGAATAACCCCAATCCTTACGGCTCACCTTATACTCAGAATTCTGGACAGCAGATTGGAGCCAGTGGCCTTGGTCTCCAGATTCAGGCAAAGACTGTTTTACCAAATAATTTATCTCCATTTCCAATGGACAAAAAGGCAGTTCCTGGTGGGGGAATGCCCAGCATGGTGAGTACTTACCAGTCGTAAACTTCTCTTAATGAGCTTAGCATTTTAACAAAAGAATTATGTTAAGCTTTGATGCCTTCTGTACCTTCTGGGGTCTGTGTATATTACAGGAGCCTGTTTAATGGGTGAATCCTGTGAGGGAGAAGGCTTGGGCTATCTTTCCATTTCATATGATTTGTTGGTACCCATGGTGGTTGTCAGTTGAGGCTGACCCCACAAAAACAAGTCAGCACTTTAGGTGGTAAACTTTATAAAGCACAGGGATCACAGCACCTGCCTTGCAAGCACAAGGTCATGAGTTTGAGTCCCAATTCAGAAACAAAACAAAAAAGAACACAGATGTGGAGCCTTTCTCCTTTTGGGAAGAGATCTCAGCTTTCAAGGACTGGATCTATAACACCAGAGTAATTTTCCAGTAACCCCTGCACATAAAGATCTTAAGTACCAGGGTCAAAAAGTTTAAAGCCAGCCTGGGCAATTTAGTGTAACATTTTGCTTCTGACAAACAAGCAAAAAAGGTGGGAAATGTAGCTAAGCAGTAAAGCTCCCCAGTCCCCAGTACCACACATAAACATACAGGTTAAAATTGTTTGTTTGGTTTGGTTAGCTTTTTTGTTGTGTTTGCTTTTGGTGCAGAGGATGAACTCAGGACCTTGCATTTGCCAAGCAGGCATTTACGCTGCTGAGCTAAAACCTCCGGCCCCTTAAAATTTTTTGTTTGGGAAATAAACAATTTTGTTTGTAGGGCTAAGGATTGAATCTAGGGCTTTTCATATGCTAGGCAGGCATTCTCATGGGGTTGTACTTCAGGCCTTTTATTGTATTTTACTTTATTTTATTTTGCTTTTACTCCAGGCCTTCTAAAATTTTATTTTGTAACAGTTTCTTTATGTTGCCCAGACTGACTTCAAACTTAAGGTTCTTCGCCTCTATCTCAGCTAAGTAGCTGAGATTTCAAGTTTATATCACTATGCCAGGCTAATAATCTTGTTTGTAAGTTTGCCTGATACTCCACATTTGCATTTTAAGAAATTTTCTTACAGCAATTTAATTTCTTTCTAAAATTTTATTTATTTATTTATTTATTGAGAATAGGGTCTTGCTATGCAGTAAGTTTTTTGTGTTCACTGTTTTCCTGTATTTCAGACAGTCTGCTAAATATTAGAGATGCAAAGATGAGTGAAACATGGAATGTTTGGCTTCAGAAATGCTTAATGGAAAAACTTTGAGAGATTGTTAATATTTTTTATCCACCTGTTGAGTCAACCACAGCTCATCGCTCCTGCTCCTCTCTTTGGAGTATACACATTCCTTCTGTTTGATTCAGTTGTCTAGTCAGACATTCTTTCATTGTCTTTGTAATGTCATCATTTATTCTCTTACTAAATTGAGTTTCCTGATGGAGCAATGATTTGTTAGTATTTTAACGCCCCAACAAAAATGGAATCTGACATATAGAAGGTTTTAATTGAATTAGCTCAGCGGCATAAGCACCTGCCTTGCAAGCAGGCAGTCGTGAGTTCGATCCCGGTACCAATAAAAAGGAAAAAGACAAAAAAATTAAAAAAGAAAATATTCAGATCCCTAAGAGATAGCACACCTTGGCACTTATTAAATATACTTTTATTATTACATCCATTAGGGCCAACAACCTGCCCCACAGGTCCAGCAACCAGGCCTGGTGACTCCGGTCACCCAGGGGATGGGTTCTGGAGCACACACGGCTGATCCAGAGAAGCGCAAGCTCATCCAGCAGCAGCTCGTTCTCCTTTTGCACGCTCACAAGTGCCAGCGCCGGGAACAGGCTAACGGGGAGGTGAGGCAGTGCAACCTTCCCCACTGCCGCACCATGAAGAATGTCCTGAACCACATGACGCACTGCCAGTCAGGCAAATCCTGCCAAGGTGAGTGGAGTGGGCTTGTGCCGTGAAGGGATGGCTCTGCTTAGTACTGGACGTGGACGTATATCTAAACTCACTTGAAATACATATATTACCTTTGTGTAGTATTTTCAAATATCATTTATACCCCACTAAAGAGTTAAAAAATGCCACTTTGAATGTATACAAATGACATCTTGGCTGCATCTAGTTCTTGCTAATATGAACAAAGCAGTTTTAAACAACTGTTTTGAGAATCCTTTGCTGATAGTGTCCTATTCTACATTAGGAAATGTTAAAAGTTCAGTATCGGATTTTGTTTTTGTTTTTGGAATTGGAGATCGAATTCACTTCCTAGTGCTTGAAAGGCAGGCGCTTATGGCGCTGAGCTAAATCCCCAGCTCAGTATCGTTTTGTAAGTGAGCAAGGATATGGTAGGGTCTCCCATTTGGGTGGTGATGCTCCTTGATGTTGATTTGGTTCAGTAGACCATCTTTTAAATATTACTGAAGGTTTGTTAGTCACCAGGCTTAACACAGTTTTACATAGTTTCATCTAATATAGGACTTGATAGAGTCTTAACATTTTTATAAGCATGTATATCATGTGTACTTAAATTGTAGAGCATGTGGAAGGGAGACTAGAGCTCGGCTGCCTGAGTTTGAAACCAGTTTTTGGGTAGTTGGGCTTTGTAGAAGTCACTAAATCATTTTTGCCTGTTTTTTTCAATTTTAAAAACTGAATAAGAGGAATCCTATAGTATTATAAAGATAAAATGAGTTATTATATTTGTAATACTTGTTAAATAATAAATTAGCTGTTATTCTCAAACTTTGTTTCTAGTGGCACACTGTGCATCTTCTCGACAAATCATTTCACACTGGAAGAACTGTACAAGGCATGATTGTCCCGTGTGTCTCCCCCTCAAAAATGCTGGAGATAAGAGAAATCAGCAGTGTAAGTGATAAAATCTTTTGCAGATTTGTGCCCCCAGTTTTTTTGTGGGAGTCTTTTTGCCACAATATTAGACATTGAAGCCAGGACCTTCGTAGTGAGAGCTACATCCCAGCCCTTTAAAAAAAAATTTTTTTTTCCAGTGTAAAACAGAGTCTCACCAAGTTGCTCATGTATCCTCAAATTTACCATCCTCCTAACTCGGCCTTCTAGAATGCTAGGATTTCAGGAGTATATATAATTGCTGTACCTAAAGATGCTGAAAGTATTCTGAGAATCTCATCAGTGCCATTTGATAAGGTTTTCGAGTACTTTCTGTTTATGAGGTTCTTGTGCCTACCTGGTACTATCATACTTTGTTGAAAAAATAGTTTCTCTTTTTCTGCTTTCCATTCATACCCAGTGCATAGAATTGAACTCTGCTTGATAAGATCAGGACTGCTCGTGTTCATTGATTACACTTAATACCTGTGATTGAAGTAGTTGAATGATTTGAAATTATTTATATAGAAACAAAAATTGATTATTTTTAAAATCTTAGGTTGAACAAGAGCTTTTCACCATGAAAAGGCCAGTCATAAATAATGATGCATATGAAAGTGCAGCTACTACATTTCTAACCGCAAAAGATGAAGCATTTATGGTGGAATACAATTTTGGAAATAAAGCGTGTGAAAATGAAATTCCCTAAATAAATTATAAAGTACTTGGTAGACAATTAGGAATAGGAAATTATTCACTAGAGGAAACACATCAAAAATTGTATTATGTACTGATATATAGATATCATTTTTCTCCTGTCACATTGGCAGAAAAGATGCTGCCTGGTGTCAGTGTTTGGCTGACTGTAAGGTGTGTCTACTGGGATGGGGGGGCATTTATGGAACCTGTGGAAAAGCTGTGGTATTCAAGATCAAAATCTTTCAGGCTGATAACTCCTTCAACTTCAGTCTTCCCTACATGTAAAATTTTGTTTGGTTTTTGGGATGGGATCTTACTGTGTAATTCACTCAGCCTCCTGTGTGCTAGGCATGCAATATCACATTGAAAGCATGCACCAGTTGTTTCAAGGGAATAATGCAAGATACATTTATTGAGATGTTTCATACTCATTTAAAAGATAATTCTTGGGGGCTGGGGATTTAGCTCAGCCGCATAAGCTCCTACTTTGCATGCCCGCAGTCGTGAGTTCGATCCCTGGTACTGATAAAAAAACAGAAAGATAATTCTGGTTTTCGAAATTCATTGAGACATCTTAGTCTTTTTGTTGGCAAGTCTAATATTGTAATACCATGCCTTTTTTTTTTTTTTTTTCCTCTAGCAATTTTGACTGGTGCACCCGTTGGGCTTGGAAACCCCAGCTCTCTAGGGGTGGGTCAACAGTCTACCCCTAGCCTCAGCACTGTTAGTCAAATTGATCCCAGCTCAATAGAAAGAGCCTATGCGGCTCTCGGACTGCCCTATTCAGGAAACCAGATGCCACCACAATCCCAGGTGCAGGCGAAGAACCAGCAGAATCAGCAGTCTGGGCAGTCGCCCCAAGGCATCAGGCCCATGAACAGCATGAGTAAGTGTGGGTCTTCTCAATGCCGAGGAGATGTTAATTTTGTGAATAAATTTCTGTAGATGTAACTAATTGTTCTCATTTTTGTTTATATATTTAATACATGATTATTAAATTGTAGTACTTTTATCCATATTATCAGAGATAGTGGCCACTAGTATATGAGTTTATATCCTTTCATCCTTTTTTTGCATATGTAACTTTAAATATCTAGAAATGACGTCTCATATATTCCATAACATTAATACTGTGAACATCTTTTGTATTCCATATCCTCCTGTACTCCTTTAGTGATCATAATACGATCTTTTATAAATGGAAATTAAGATTCCCAGGGTTTTTTTTTTTTTCCTCCAGTTTAAACTGTTTAGCAGGAAATTGTTGGCTTGAAATGTGTAGAAATAAATGTGTTTGCTGTCACTCTAAGAGGCCATGTAACTGGCAGAAGGCTTAGGGTGCCTTTGCTAGTTTCTAATGTTCTGATTTGGGATGTACTTCCTGTACTGCCTGTGATACAAAGAGCTTTGCCCTGTGAGTAACCCTTTTGCTGTCAAGCAGTTAAACATCAAAGCCATTTTGTTTAGGTTGATGTTCAACACTGTGAAGTCTCTGCTTTAGGTTTTGTTCTGGGATTGTTTGTGATGATGTCCTTTGTGGCCAGAGAGCAGTCTGAGGTGGAATCAACTCTGCACACATTTCCCTGGGAGTTCTGTTTCTACCTTTCTGTTGTGCTTTGCAGGAAGCCTTAGGTTTTAACTTTCTTTTTTTTTTTTTTTTTTTTTTTTTTTGTGGTGCTCTTCACTTTTTTTTTTGTACTGGGGATGGAATGATCCACAATCTCATACATGCCAGGCAAGCAGATTGCTATTGTCTTACTCTCTTGCGTGCACGCATGTGCACACACACACACACACACACACACACACACACACATGCATTATTTTACTTTTGTTTTCCTTCCTGCTCTTCTCTGATGCATTCGCAGTCCATTTTTTTTCTTCTCAAATTGGGTATTTTCTTCCTTCTCCTGTCTACTTACTAACAAGACAGTATTGATTTTTACTTCTGTAATTTGAATTCTACACTGTGAAGGAGCTTCTGATTCTCTGTACTCTGAGTTTCATAGATCCTTTTGGGGAGAGGGACTGGGGATTGAACCCAGCTCTTTACTTTGAACTGCATCCTCTTGATTAAGGATGGATCAAGCCTGTTTTTAGTTCTTCATTTAATAGTATCTTCATAGTTAATAGTTACCATTGCAAGCCAAAACCTTTAAATTACCTCATTTCTTTTATTGTGTTATATATCATACCTAGATGTCTGGTTTTGGAAATTGGGTGATTCTACTTTTACTTTTTTTTTTTCATTTTCTTTTTTGTCTTTTTCATTTTTATGGGTATCAGGGATCGAACTCACGACTGCCTGCTTGCAAGGCAGGCACTTATGCCGCTGAGCTAAATCCCCAGCCCCCTCTGCTTTTACTTTTAACATCCTTTTTTGTTTGTTTGTTTATTAGACATAACCCAGATCTGTAAAGGCCTATTAATGGAGTATTTTTCCTTTTATTTCAACCCCCTTTAAAATGCATTTATGCTGGGCATTTAATGGCTCATGCTTGTAATCCCAGCATTTTGGAGGCTAAAACAGGAGAAGCTCCCTGAGTTTGAGGGCAGCATAGGCTGCTTTTATAGCAGTTGTGAATTGCGCTGCTATAAACATGATGTGTGTGTATTCCTCAAGTATGATGTCTTGAACTCTAGGGGAAATTCCTAGGAGAGGCAAAAATAGAATATGAAATAATGGGATGCAGTGGAAGACAACTCATTTTCAGCTGATTTTTGACAATGGTTCTAAAAGTATATGGAGAAAGGATAGCCCCTTTTACAAAGGGTGGTGGGAAAGCAGATTATGCCTGAGCAGAATAATGAAAACACATCTCCCATCCTTTACTAAAGTCAAATAAAAATGGATCAGAGACCTAGATATACTGAAATACTGAAACTGCTGGAGGATGAATAGGGAAAACACTTGAGGACTAAAAAATAGTACCAAGAACCAACAAGTGGTTTATATTAAATTTAAAAACTTGTGCATAGTATAAAGGAAGCAATCAGCAGAGTAAAGAAACAGCCTTCAGAATGGGGGAAGGTTTGTGGGTTTTTTTTCCCCCAATTATTCTGATAGAGGGCCGATACCTGAATACACTCTATAAAGAAACTTTAAAAACCCTTAAAACTAAATGATCCAATCAGTGGGCAAACCTGTGATATTTATTAAAAAGTCTACATTTGAATTTTTCTATTTCTACCACAAGTCAGTTGATGTTTACCTTTTTTAGGGAAGAAGCATGTATCTTTTCTTTGTCTCTTCACCTCCCTCTTAAATTCTGGAGCATTTATTGTTAAAATCTTGATTTTTCGGTTGTTTTGTACTCTTAGAAAGGTTTGTTATGATTGTTTCAAAGACTTAGGTTTTTTTTTTTTTTTTTTTGGTGGTGCTGGGGATTGAGCTAAACCCAAAGCCTAAGTGTTAGATTTTTAAAAAAATAATATACCATGCTGTCTTTATCTGAAGGAATTTTAGTACTGGGTAGGATAAAGGCAGATACATCCTGGGCAAATAACAAATATTGCCATGGGTAAAATACATTTTCAGCTCCAGTTTGTGGCAACAGATGTAACTTCTACTGTGGCACAACTGGCTGTAGTGCTGGAACGTGTTTGATACAAATTTTAGGTGCCTGCATGAACCAGGATAGTAGAACAGGTGATAGATGATGAACAGCATTAATTCAGCTGTGTGCTGTAAACAAATAGTAAAGGGTCATGAGCCTGTGTTGAAACATCTCTTGTCTGGTTGTATAACCAAATTTAGGTAGATAGTGCTCCAGGTTTCCTATTAATATATGTTAGGCTATAGAAACTCTGTACCAGAAAAGGGAAGAGTGCATCCCTCTGGAACCTGGGATTTTTGAAATACAGGTAATAACTATAAAATTAACTTTTTACTAGAGAACTCAGTGTTGATATTTGGACCATCTTCTCAGTCTTTTAGTTATTCTTAAGTTTTATTTTGAAGGTAGTAAAAGTAAAAAAACAAAACAGAACAAAGCCAATCAAGACAATGCAGTAAAATTGGTACAGAACTTAATAGCAGGATACTGGGATAACAGTAATAGGTACCATAGTATATTGTTATTTTCACAATAGTTGTCCAGTCAATTAGGTATAGTGAAATCAAACCAAAAACAGAACATTATAAAACCAATCGAAAGAGAATATTGAATAGAACAAAACAAAACAGTGAAAGTAACATTTGCCTTCAAACAGAAGATAAAAGGAAATCCCCCATATATGCTGTATGGCATACAGTCATCCTCCCAAGAGATACTCAGACCTTTGCCCCAGTCGCTCATGTGGTGGTGGTGGTGGGGGGGTTGGGATGTTTTATTCTCAGCCCATGCGCTGGTAGCCTCACGGGAGACACTGACTGGCTCTCCTCCTGGCCCACGCCAGGGGCACTTAGCAAGAGGGCAGTCGAATTGCTTTCTTGGTCAGTTGCCTAACTTCCACCATGGCTATTTCTCCGAAGCTGCTGACTAGTTCTTGAGTTTTTTTTTTTTTTTTTTCTTTTTCGTTTTTATTGGTACCAGGGATCGAACTCATGAATGCCTGCTTGCAAGACAGGCGCTTATGCCGCTGAGCTAAATCCCCAGCCCCTATTTAGTAGTTTTTGTATAAAGTTACTGAAAACTTTTTGGGGTATGATGAAGACCAGCAGTTGAACTCACGACCACACACACACTTGTCAGGCAGGCTCTGTGCCCTTGAGCTGTGTCCTTAGCCCCCTGAAAACATGTTTATAAGCAAATGTGGCATGGTATTTGCTTAGTCTGTGTATACTTAGATGAAAGCATACAACATTGTGATGGAAAGGGGACTCTGGAGCTTGCCTTATGATTGAGCTGTTCCTTGAAGTCAGTGTTAAATGATCCTGGAGAATATGGAGAGAATGTTATGCTGTGTGTACATGTGCCGTCAGAAGGCTGTAAGCTGCTTTGTATGTGTCATCACTAAAACAAATCCATGTTGTATATGTTTTCTACAAAGACATTAGCTCTACATGGATTGTCTGCAGTGACAGAGTTGTAGACAAATAGTTCTATTTCAAAAACGCTAGCAACTACTTTTCATTTATATTGTCTTATGGGTGTTCTTTGTTTTGTTCTGTTTTTTGTACCCTAATGCGTCTGCCACTGAACTATATTCCTGGCCACCTCTTTTTTTTTTTTTTTTTTAACCTGTGTGTATGTGTTGTTTTTGTTGTTGGGTTTTTCAGTGATTTTTGATGATACCAGGAACTGAACTTGGGACCTTGCACTTGCAAAGCAGGTACCATGCCACTAAGTTTTAACCCTGGCCCTTGTTGCTTTTGATTCAGAGAAGAAAAATTTTTTCTTTTTTTTTTTTTTTCCGGTGGTACTGGGAATTGAACCCAGGGCCTTTTGCATGTAACGCAATAACACTACCACTGAGCCATATCCCCAGGCAGCCAGCAGATACTTTTTAGATAGCCTGATTAATATCAGAAGGAAGGTTCTGCGTATTAGGGAGCACAGTGAAAGAAGGCCATAGTTTTTCTGTTAAATGTTGCTTATTGCTCTTACCAATTTTATTTTCATGTTAGTGGGAAGTTTTTGTTTTTTACCTAAGATAACTTGAGGTTTAACTTGACGTACCAGAACTGTACATCAAAATGATTTTTACATGAAAGCCTGGTCTACATGAATATTGTTGTTTGCTGTTCTGAAATGAATTATTCCCAAAAGTGTTCATCGAGAAAAGTATATGCACAGAACTTATCCAGGCCATGTTAAAGATAAATCAATAAAGCGTGTTTTCCTTTAACCCAGACACTGTGTAAGCCCCTCTTCTGAGGGGGGAAGAGTTCCTGTATTTTTTTGGTACATTGTTATGCAAATTTTTTGTGCTAATGAAAGCATATATCTATAAACAGTTTGCTGCCTTACCAGCTTTGCTCATAATTCTTTTTTTTATCTGTACCAGGGATCAAACTCCTGACTGCGTGCTTGCAAGGCAGGCGCTTATGCCACTGAGCTAAATCCCCAGCCCCTTGTTTTGTTTTTTAATACATATATAATTGTAATACAGATTGTCAGAAGTAGAAAAGTCAAAAGACATTTCCAAGGATTTTTATCTGGTGGTATTTGCCAACTAGCCTTCCCAAGTTTCTCAGTGTACACATCTGCATTTAGATTGTTTCTTTCCTCACACTCTTGTTAATACATGGTTTTAAAATAATTAACTTTTAATTAACAGTTCCAGGGGTTGGAGATTTAGCTCAGTGGTACAAGTGCCTGCCTTGCAAGTGAGCAGTCATGAGTTTAATCCCCAGTACCAAAAAAAAAAAAAAAGTTCTGAAAATTTCACACATTAAAAATACATTGTTGCTGGGCATGGTGGCACATGCCTGTAATCCTAGCACTTGGGAGGCTGAGGTAGGAGGATCATTGCAAGTTGGAGACCAACATGCTCAAAGCCAACCTCAACTGCATAGGGAGACCCTGTCAAAAAGATCAAATAAATAAGTAAAAAAAAAAGTACATTGTTTCGATTTATTTTTGGGTATATTTAACACTTTGCATTTTTAAAAAGCTATTGTATTTCACTTTCTGTGAATTGCCTGTTCCTGTCTAGTATTGGATTATTCATTTTTTTCCTCATTGGTTTGTAAGGATGCCTTATATATTGGCTTTTATGTGTTGTTAATTACGTTGCTAATCATTACATAGTCATTTATATTAATTTTATGATGCTTATTGTATGGCTTAATTTATTTTTGTCTTTTGCTATTTTGCTTCGTTTTGGTTTAGGTGCTAGTCCCATGGGAGTAAACGGAGGTGTAGGGGTTCAAGCACCGAATCTTCTTTCTGACTCGATGTTGCATTCAGCCATAAATTCTCAAAAGTAAGTTTTGTCTTGGTTTGTGCCCAGTCATTTGAGTTCTTAGTTTTCTTGATTTGAAGATAACCTTTATGAATGAAGAAAATGGTGGCACACAGCTGTAATCTCTACCTGGGAGGCAGGAGGATTAGAAGTTTGAACCCAGAGGAGCCTGGGCACTTTTCCAAATATAGTATGAAGTTTCTAGATGATGGTTATATGACAGTTTTTTCCTTTATCTTAAACCTCATTTTTCAGGGAGTTCCCTCAGGTATAGTTACACCCAGGTGACATCTTAGTCTGATAACACAGTTTAGGTTTTCAAACAAATTTCTGTCATCTCCTTATCAAATGTAACTCTTTTTCTCACAGGTATAAATAGTGTTGCCACACGGATGCGTGCACGCATGTGCGTGTGCGCACACACACTCTCTCTCTCTCTCTCTCATACAGATAGGATTCCTATAGAGTATTGGACCCATGGCATTAGTAGCTGTCAGCAGTAGTTAACGAGGTCTTTGTATTACCCTTTACTAAAACTGTTTTGCCTTTTGTTTTGTTTGTTCATTTGTTTTGCATTTTGTTTGGGTTTTTGTTGTGTTCTTAAAGCCCAATGATGAGTGAAAATGCCAGTGTTGCCTCCCTGGGCCCTATGCCAACAGCAGCTCAGCCATCCAGTACTGGAATTAGGAAACAGTGGCATGAAGATATTACTCAGGATCTTCGAAATCATCTTGTTCACAAACTGTAAGTAAGAGTGTGGGCGTATCTATTGGGAAGAGTTGTCGTACTTGCGTATGGTGGCACACAGCTATAATCTCTACCTGGGAGGAAGGAGGATTAGAAGTTTGAACCCAGAGGAGCCTGGGCAACTGAACAGTTTAGTGAGTCCCTGTCTTTAAAAAGGACTTTGGTTGCAGCTTACCCCAAAGGCTTTATATCAAATCCCCAGAACCACGACACCAACAACCATGAAAATGTCATGGGCTAGACATTTAACCACCAAAGGACTGTTACTGATTGTCCTGTTGTGTAACTGTAGGATGTTGATAACTCTGGTCTTAGTGTTACTTTTGCTGCTGCATCTCTGCTTCTTGCTTCTTAACCTTTCTTCCATCATTTGTGAGAATCTTCCAGCTTTGACATCACACGAACTATTCTGCCTGTTGCCAAAAATTGATACATTTTATTTTATTTTATTTTTGTCTTTTTCATTTTTATCGGTACCAGGGATCGAACTCAGGACCACCTGCTTGCAAGGCAGGTACTTAGGCCGCTGAGCTAAATCCCCAGCCCCTAAATTAATAAATTTTAAATTGTTCATTTTGTATCTTTGTCTTACATAATCTACATTTCATAAGAAATGACCTCAGCTGTTTAAAATTTGGTAGGAGGATAATATTTTCTGTTATTTTTGGTAGTTTATTATGTTGACAAATTGAGTCTGTGGTCCTCTGGTCCTCCAACTGTACTCAAAATAGTTTATGAAAAACTTTCTGCATTGTTTGTTTGTTGCTATTTATAATCTCCATCTACAGGGATGGAGGTAAGGCAGGTATATGGCATGATAAAATGTCGTGTGCCTGATCATAAAGGCAGAGCTTTCCTCCTGCTGATTAGAGTTTGCACTTTGTACAACATACAACTGTGTTTTATTTTGTTTTTTCTTTCTTAAGAGAAAGTAGTTTTTTTTCCTTTCACTTGCACCTAATAGCAGGATCTCCTTTTTTCTGTCCTTACTTGGTACTGGGGATTTACGCAGGTGGTTTACATTGAACTCTCCTTTTTAAATTTTTATTTTTTGAGACATGGTCTTACTAAATTGCCTAGGCTGGGCTTCAACTTTTCATTCACCTATCTTGGCCTCCCAGAGTGTTAGATTATAGATGTGGACCACTACCTCTGGCTCCATTTATATTTTTCCTTACATTTTAAGAACCATGATGAGACTTAGCTTATAATTTTTTTTTTTTTTGTACTGGGAATCGAACTCATGACTTTGTACTTGTCAGGCAGGCACTGTGCCACAGAGCTATATCACCAGCAGCTTATGTTTTTGTCTTTGAAACAGGGTCTCATTACGCAGTTCAAATTGTTCTTGGGCTCACTTGGTAGTCCAGGCTAGTCTCAGACTTGCAGTGACCCTCCTGCCTCAGCCTCCCAAGTGCTGGGATTACAGGAGTATGCCACCATGCCCAGCCCAGATTATATTGTTTTAATTTATTATTATTATTTTTTTTTTCTTTTTGAGACAGGCTTTCACTATGCAGTTTAGGCTGGCCTTGAGCTCACTTTATAGCCTAGCCTCGTCTCGGAACTCAAAATGATCCACCTGCCTCAGCCTCCCGAGTGCTGGGATTATAGGCATGAGCCCCACACGGGGCTTTAGTTTGTTTTTATATTAACATGTTTCTGAGCTTCACTTAGAAAATCTGAAATGTTAGCACTTTTAATGGAAAAAAAAAAATTGTTCAGTGAAATAAAAATACCCACACTATTATTTTGGATGAATTGTTTAAAACCTTTTATTTAAAAGATAGAAAACATAGATTACTTGGGATCAATCATTGATTTAACACCAAAAGATTTTTGTATGCCAGGAAATTTTCTCCCTACTCTAGTTTTGTCTTAGCTCTTTTTAGTCTGGTTCCTTCTGGTACTATATAGCTGAACTTGAGATTATAAGTGTCTTTAACAAAATAAATCACCTTTTGCCAGGCGTGGTGGTGTATGCCTATAATCTCAGCACTTGGGAGGTTAAGGTAGGATTGCCACAAGTTTAAGGCCAGCCTGAATTATACAGTGAGATCTTGTTTAAACCCTTTCCTCCAGCCACTTGATTGTTTTGAATTAGACTGTCATCATTGTCCTGTTGACTGCGTAGCCCAGGCTGATGTCTGTATCTTTGTGTTTCTCCTGCGTCAGCCTCCTCAGTGCTGGGAAATGTAGGTGTATACTACCACAAGTAGCTAAAAATCACATTTTCAGTTTTAGAAAAATAGCGTTGCTAGACATTTTGTAGGGAATTGCTAGTGTTGGAATCTTGGAAACCAGCCAAAATTTCTGTTCCCTTCATCTCAAGTTTGTCTTTTAAAACTGTGTGGTAGTTACTAGTTTAATAAGCTGAATAAATTTAGTAAAAGAATCTAAAGGCTTTTTTTTTTTTTTTTTTTTTTTTTTTTTGAGACAGGATCTTGTTAATGTAGTTCACACTCACCTTGGATGCACTGTGTAGCCCTGGCTGGCCTCAAACTCAGGCTGGTAGCGATCTTCCTGCCTTATACTCCCAAGTGCTGGGATTACAGGCATGTGTCACCTTGCCTGGTTGATTTCCTTTTAAATCTATGAGAGAGGCCAAGTTTCCTCTGTGGAAATAGTACTGTGTAGTGTTTTGCTCTCTGTGTAAGATAAAGAGACTCATCGAATATTTTTATGGAAATATTTCTCACATTGTAATCAGGAAAATCCCGTGTCTTGTTATAAAAAGAATTTCATTTCAGTGTATGTCATTTTTATATATAAATAGTTCTTTTTTATACTGTTAAGTGTGTAAAAATGGAGAAGTCCTAAGTAGAAAAACACTTAGTGTATATCTTGATATGATACGAATGAAAAGCCAACATTACTACTATAGTGGAATATTCTTTTTCCAGCGTTCAAGCCATATTTCCTACTCCGGATCCTGCTGCTTTAAAAGACAGACGGATGGAAAACCTTGTTGCCTATGCCCGCAAAGTGGAAGGGGACATGTATGAATCTGCAAATAATAGAGTGAGCATCTGGTTTTTCTTTTTTGTTGATAGTCGAAAGTAGACCTGTTCTGGTTATTTAATTTACTTGCCTTCTGCAACATGGCAGCAAATGCTGTGCTTTTGAGGACGCCCATTAGCTATTTTGTCTTTTTTTACTGCAGGCAAGGTAACAAAGTAACTTGTATAATCATCAAGAATCTTGCACTTTTTCTCTTGATAAAGTACATTGTGTAGTATATTATCTAGATTGTTCTTCTGTCCACTTTAAAATTGGCTGTTACCAGTTCTGAGCTGTGTAGTATTTTTTCTAGAATATGGTGAATCAGCTACTTGATTTTGAGGGGGTGGGTACTGGGGATCAAACTCACGACCTCACACTTGCTATAGGCAGGCACTTGTGCCATTGAGCTAAGTCCCCAGCATCCTTAATATTTTTATACCAAGTAGTATTTTAGCTATGTCAGTTGAAGTTTCTTTCTAAATTGCCACTACTAGAAATGCAAGATACTGTTTCTGTGTCCTATAAGTGCTACTGTGTGTTTTGTAAACCTCCTTTTAGAGATTGTACTTTATTGTATAAGTTATATAACTGCTAATCATGTGATCATGCTAAACATGAGTTTAGTTTTAGAATGACAAAAGAGGCTATACCCCCTCCTTTATTTTCTACCTGTTTTTAAATGAAGGTAATATTTATTTTTTTTCTGTCAATCAATGAAAGTTCTTCCTTTTGCCTTATCTCTTACTTCAAAAATTCAAAAAGGCGGAATACTACCACCTTCTAGCTGAGAAGATCTATAAGATCCAGAAAGAACTAGAAGAAAAACGAAGGACCAGACTCCAAAAACAGAACATGCTGCCAAATGCTGCAGGCATGGTACCAGTTTCTATGAATCCAGGGCCTAACATGGGACAGCCACAATCAGCAATGGCTTCTAGTAAGTGTTTTTGTGATAGGAGGCATGGTTTCCCGCTGAAGCCATTTGTATAACTTTTGTGGCCGTTTGAGGGATTTTCTTTTCGTGTTGTTTTGTTTGTTTGTTTTTGGGAATACATGTTTATATGATCTCATTACAGGAAGTAAACTTCTTACACACATACAGAATACATCTTAATTCTTTTTCCCTTTTCTCCTACTCTCCAGGTTTTCTAATAGCTTTTTGCCTATACATAGAGAATAATTCATTGGTTTAAAAAAGAAAAGCATCTAAACAGTTTAATATTTCTAGATATATTATCTAACATAAATAGTAATTGGTATCATATTTAGAATCCAAGATGACTTTCTGTGTTAGTTACATCTAGAAGGTGAAAGCCGATAGATTTGCCTTGCCCATCTGCAATACTCACTGGCTTTCATGACAAGCAACCAGTAGATTTGTAGACCAACCAGGTTTAGTGATTGCAGAGGCCAGAGTGCTTCCTGACTATAATATAGTATCCTGCTATAGTGTCACACAATACATTCCCAAGCTAATAACAAGTCTGTTTTATGTATATATTTAGTCTTTCTCAGATAGAGTCTCACTAAGTAAAATTAGGTCTTGACAGCTGTTTGGTTGTGTATTATCATTCTCGACTTGATAAATTTTCCAGATAGTCAAGACTATTCTGCCCAGCCTTCTTTAGTCACTGACTTACTAGATTGTAAGCAAATACAGAGTGTAACCACAACCATTAGGAATAGCACAGGCAATTTAAGTGGTGTGAGAAAAGCTGTGGTAGGAAATGACTGTGTTTGGTGAGTTGTAGACTACTGACTACCTGTAGGAATTAACATCAGAACCAGCAAGTAGAAACTGTTAGGCCATCAGTGGCTTAATGGTGGGCTGAGACATTATTTTCCTCAGTCCTTGAAGTAGTAAAGTGAACTACTGATTGCCATTGGCATTTATCAACCTTGTTTGTTAACTCCAGTGTCCCAGATGAACTGTTTTCTGATTGTGAAGAAGAACACTTCTGGCAAAGAAATAGCGTACAAGGAGACCCAGGGGCAAGGGGGATGCTTTGCTTTGGGGGGGTGGGGCAGGTGGTGTGTGCCTTTTGGAACTAGACCTTGCCATATAACCAAGGCCAAAGTGCTCCACCACCACACCTGAGGAAACACACGCACTCTTTGAGTACAGCAGACTGATCTCAGGATAAGAAAGTCAAGATTACTTGGGTTGTAGAAACTGCTTCAGTATGTGATTGAACTAGAGCAGTGTTGTCGAATCTTTTTTTAAAATACCTTTTAATGATCAAAACAGCCTGCTGAGGCACACATGCCATAGGTTCACCACCTCTAAACTAGAGTCATGAAGGAGGCTCAGACATATCTTTTTTTCTTTGCTTTTTTTTTTTGTACCAAGGATGGAATTCATGAACTCTTGCTTGCCAGTCAGGTGCTTATGCCGCTGGGGTAAATCCTCAGCCCCTTCAAACAGACATATCTGACATACAGTACTTGGTTTTGTTAGAATTTACGTTAGTAATTTAACGTTAGTCAAAACACTACAGTGATATCCTATAAGCAGAGGTAAATAGTTGTGGAACTGAATAACAGAATTTAAACTTACTATTGATTTATATTACACCTTACATATTTTAGGGTAAGATCCCCACCTTATCCCATACATGGTAATTAATCATGGAAGAGTAAAAAGTTGCCAAGCTTTAAAAGGAAAATAAAAAGTTAAACTACAGAATATTAAAGAAGATAGAATTAAGGGAAACATATCAAGGAACAAGTAAGCAAATCTGTGGAGACCATTTGGGACTCTTGACAGTTCAAATACTCTTACTGAACTGAGCTGAGGAAGCCAGGTGTGGTCACTAGCCAGGCGCGTGTCACTAATCCCAGCACTCCAGAGACTGCACTACATAGGGAGGCCCTGTGTCCACAATCCAAAAACAAAAAACATGAACTGGGCAGGGAGTGTCTGCACCAGTGCGCCTGAGGCTATAATGTACAGCACTTGGGTGGAAGGAGCCAGGGCACTGTGGGCGCCCCTCTTTTTCCAGAGAGCTCTAAGCTGTTCTTTGCATCTTGTTAGAAGTATGCTGTACTCTAGAGGATGTACAGATAATTCAAGAAGACATTGGGATTTGTATATAGTATGTCCATTTTAAGCTCTTTAATTTTGTTTCGTTTTTGGACTTTTTGAGATAGGTTCTCGCTATGCAGTTTGGGCTGACCTTGGACTCACTTTGTAGCCAAGGTTGGTCTTAAACTTGCAGCAATCCTCCTGCCTAAGTCTCCCAAGTGCTGGGATAACAGGCATGCACCACCATGCCTGCAAATATTTTAAAGAGGAATCACAGTTCAGTATAATACCAAGGTGCTTTCTGTAGACTCTTGTCTAGTTCAGAACTTTATTTTTTTTTTGTTTTTTTGAGGTAGGTTCTTGGTATGAAAGCCAGGCTGGCTTTGAACTTGTGATCCTCCTGCTTTATTTAGCCTCCTGAATTCTGGGGTAATAGGCATGTTGCACCACTTAGCTCAGAACTTTTATTATCCAGGCTGGATTCTTCAAGTTGCTGAATGATATTTTACAGGTTTTTATAGGTTTTTGGTAAAAGACAATTGACAGATACTTTTTTTTTTATAACAATTTTTCTTATTTGCTTCAGATGGTCCTCTACCTGATCCAGCTATGATCCGTAGCAGTGTGCCAAACCAGATAATGCCTCGGATAACTCCACAACCTGGTAAATTGTGAATGAAATTTGTGGTCATTTTTAACAGTCTCTGTGCCTCATTAATTCCTGCTTTCTGTCAGCAGCAAGTATCACACAGTTACCTGCTTAAGAAATTAGAAAACCTCTGCATTGAATTCCACAGAGGAAGAGAGGGCAAAGAATAGATTAGCGATCAGAGGATAGGTGACAGTAAATGATCAGGCAAGCAAAATCTTACAGATGGAAGATTTAGTTAAAATGCTTTGTTATATGTAATGACTTTGTTCAACTGCTGTGCAAGAAACAAATTTATTGATACAAAGATGAAAGCAGGTTACATTGTTGGTCTTGAAAATGTTGTAGAGTCATATATAAACACTCCTGTCTTATTTTCTAGTTCCACGAGGGTGTTCAAAGGCAATATTTTGCTTATCTTCACAGGTTTGAATCAGTTTGGCCCAATGAGTATGCCCCAGCCACCCATTGGCCCCCGGCAAACCTCACCTCTTCAGCACCATGGGCAATTAGCTCAACCTGGTGCTCTCAATCTGGTAAGTTTTGATGTTTTGTGCAGGTGTTTTGACTTCTACCTAATAAAGTAGGGTTTTTTTTTAATTTTTAAAAATTATTTTTCTGCGAAGTGTGGTCACATAATCGCAGCATTCTTGGGAAGCTAAGGCAGGAGGACCACTGCAGGTTGGGGGCCAGCCTCAGCTACATAGTGAGACTGTCTTAAAAAAAAGTTTTTCCTTTGTTTCTACCTCCTAAATAAAAATTCTTGCTTGTTTAAACAGACTGTAAGGCCATATTCTTACGGTGCAGTTCTGTGTATTTAACCTTTAATATAGAGGCGATTGATACATATTTTGGAGATGAAAATAAATAATTGTAATACTGAAAAGAAATAAAATACCAGAAACTATATGCAACAATTCAGAACTAAAACACAGGGCAGCATAGTGGGGCACACCTGTGGGCCTTATGTACAAAATTTGAAAATTTGTTCTACAGAATTAATTACTGAAATACCTTAAGGATATAATTTGAAGAAAATACGTTACAGATGTGGTGTTACATGTTTCTGTTTAAAAAAAAAAAATTGCCATATCATGTACATTGGGATTTCATTATGGTTAAATTACAGCAAATTGAAACTATATAGACAATAACTTGAAGCTCAGATATCCCAAAAAGTAAAAGCTCAGATAACACAAAAAGTTTTAAGTGGAGCCAGGCTTGGTAGTGCAGGCCTGTAATTTCAGCACTTGGTGGCTGAGGCAGGAGAATAGCTGTAAGTTTGAGGCCAACCTCGTTACATAGCAAGATCCTGATTCAACAACAACAACAAAAAGTTTCTCTAAAATAGTATTTCAGTCATAGGATTCAGTATAATTTAAGAATTTCTTGATTTAAAAAAGATACATTAATCATTGAACACTAAACAGTTTATATCCAAGCAACTATTGTTCATAGTATTAAAAAGCTGATAAGGTGCTGGAGATTTAGCTCAGCGGCATAAGCGCCTGCCTTGCAAGCAGGCAGTCATGAGTTTGATCATCCCTGGTACGGGGGGGGGGGAGAATGCTGATAGAAAACAAGTTAGTACCCTTTCGCTGGAGTCATTGTGCAGGGCCTTTGTACTCCTCAGTCAGCTTTCTACTCTAAGCCTGCTTCTGGAGACTGAAAGAATGAGCTTTTTGCTGCTGTTCATGTAGTCTTGTAGCCAATTTCCAGCTCTCCACATTGACCCTATCCCTTATCTTACCTTTTTTTTAGGAGGACCGGCGGAGTATCTTTTTGAGATAGTGTTTCTCTATGCAGTTCAGACTGGCTTTGAACGCACTTCGTAGCTCAGGCACCTCTAACTTGCAGAGTTCTTCTTGCCTTAGCCTACCAAGTGCTGGGATTATAGGTGTGGACCGCCATACTTGATTTTAACTCATTCATGCATTTATTGGTCTTTTTGAGACAGGGTCTCACTATGCAGTTTAGACTGGCCTTGAGTTCACTTTGTAGCCCAGGCTGGATTTGGCTACAATCTTCCTGCCTCCGTCCCTGGAGCACTGGGATTACATGGGTGCCGCTATACCCAGCTCATTTCCTGTCCTTTAGATTGAGTGCAGTTCCTTGTTAATGGAACGTTTCTGGAATTCTTTGGCATTACTGCTATGTCTCAGGAATCTGGTATAGCCAGGAATCCTTTTTAATTTGTAAACAGTTGCTGTTCTTCGGAACTTTTTTTGCATTTGGTACATTTTTTTTTAAAATTTGTTAAATGTGTGGATTTATACAGGGAAGTTTTAGCAGTGAAATGTACAGTACTAGAGCATTTACACATCATGAATGAGTGCTGCCAGATTGTGCAATAAGATTTTACATGTTTTTACCTTTTAAAAGTTTTAACTAGAGTGGTGCTGCATACCTGTAATCCAGCTTATTCAGAAGGCTGAGGTGGGGGCCCATAAGTCCCTGGGCAATTTAGGAAGACCCCCCCTCTCAAAATACAGAGGGCTGGTGACTTAGCTCACTGCTAGAGCACCCCTACATTGAATCACCAGTTCCTACCACAAAAAACTTTCAACATTGTATTGTTAAAACACCTGACATGAACAAAAAGCTCACTTAACAAGTGGGGAAACGTTATTTTCCCTGTCAGGCAGAGTTCCAGGTGTTTTTGCATCCTGAGAGAGAGAGAAAGAACATTTGTCCCCATCCTTTTATTACTTCTGGGTCCTAGGTTAGGTAAGCAGTCCTGTCTGCCTTATCTGTTCTCTTAAAAAGTCGAGTAGCACGCCAAGCCATTGTTGCTGAATGACTGTGCTCTTCTTTGGGTTCTTTGCAGCCCATGGGCTATGGGCCCCGCCTCCAACAGCCGTCCAGCCAGGGCCAGTTCCTGTCCCAGACTCAGTTCCCCGCACAGGGGATGAACGTGACGAACATGCCTCTGCCACCATCCACTGGCCAAGTTTCTGTGTCTCAAGTATGTTCGCAAATGGGCTCTTAGTTCTGTTAACAGTTTCTCTCGACCCCGATATTTACAGGGAAAGATGGTAGCAAACAGTTTGTTAAAAAGAAAACATTTAAATAATAAAATTGTGCTTAAAGTCTTCTGCACGTGAAGAGATTATTCTGTGACATAACTGTTCATTTAAATTGATCACTTTACGTGTTTTTAGGTGTGAACACTTAAAAATAGCCTTAGGAGGAATTGCTCTGGCTTAGGCCCAGAGCACTGCTCTCAGTCTCCTGCAGCACTGCATGCTGAAGTCACTCTGTTGAAATGGTTCGAGACACTGGTTCAGTTCCTGATCAGTCTTGTATCCAAAGATGTTCCCCAGTAGTATGATTTGGGGAGGGGAGCTTTAAAAATAGAAGCATTGTTTCTCTTTTAAATAGCTTGTGTCCTAACCAGATGTAATCTGCCTTGTGAATCCCTTCTGTTTTCAACAGGCACAAATGTCCAGCTCTTCCTGCCCGGTGAACTCTCCAGTCATGCCTCCAGGGTCTCAAGGGAGCCACATTCACTGTCCTCCTCTCCCTCAGCAAGCGCTGCACCAGAACTCACCATCTCCCGTACCTAGTCGGACCCCCACCCCACACCACACTCCCCCAAGCATAGGGGCTCAGCAGCCACCACCAACAGCAATTCCAGCTCCTGTTCCTACACCACCTGCCATACCATCTGGGCCCCAGCCCCAGGGTCTGCATCCACCCTCCAGGCAGACACCAACCCCACCCACAGCCCAGCTTCCCCCGCAAGTGCAGCCTTCACTTCCCACTGCTCCTTCTGCTGACCAAGTACAGCAGCAGCCCCGCTCACAACAGAGCACTGCAGCCTCCATTCCCACCCCCACGGCGCCACTGCTGCCTCCACAGCCCACAACGCCGGTGAGCAGAGGTTGGGGCCTGCCCATAGGGGTTTCAACTGGTGCCCATTGCTTGCACACTATTTCTAGTCTTTTTCCATCTTGGTTGTCTCCACAAATACAGTGGAATCTTGCTGTTACCGCCTTTCTTCTTTTCTTTCCTGTGGTAGCACTTAGCACAGGAGGAGGTGAAAGGTAATATTTAGGTCTGACTTTTTTTGGAGACAGGGCCCACTATGTACTTCAGGCTGGCCTTAGGTTCACTGGCCTCGAACTCAGCCATCTTCTTTTCTCAGCCTCCCAAGTGCTGGAATAGGCCTGACTTTGACCATTATATTTCGTGTTGTCTTCTGAGACCTGTAGTATAAGGGAGATAATAAAGCAGAAGGAGTTTCATTTGCTTGTTTATTATGTCATTGAGCATACCACATGAATTTTAATACACTTGAATATTTTTGAGAGAGTTTAAACTGTACCAAGCAACCTCAATATCAACATTTATAATTCACAGTGCCTCCAGACAAGCTTAACAAGTATTGATCAGACTGGGTACAGTGTTCCATACCTATAATTCTGGGTGCTGAGGCAGGATTGCAAGTTCAAGGTCAGCTAGGTAATTGAGTGAAACCCTGTCTCAAAATAAAATTATTTGTGCTGGGTATATAACTCAGTGGTAGAACACTTACCTAGCAGGCATGAGGCCCTGGGTTTAATCCCTACCACCACCACCAATAAAGGTGGAATAATTAAAGTTTTTAAATGGCTGGGGATATGACTCAGTGGTGTAATGCTTGTATTAAGTCCTTAGTATCAGGGGAAAAAAAGTTCATAATTGGACTGTGTATATGTCCAAAAAAGGTTCATGATCTAAGATGATTTCAGACCTAGAACAACCTGTGTTGAACAAATGTGAAAAAATTTATAAAAATCCAAATTTTCACCTATTACTTGGGTCTTAATAGCATTCTGTAGTAAGGCTGGAATTTTCTAGACTGACCATTGATGATAGTGCTTCAGTTCTCAGTTGTGTTGGTCATCATCACCTCATGAAATAAGTCTCCCAGTGACTGTTCCATCATGGCCTTTAATAAACAAGGAAGTGCAACATTAATGAATCTCTGGATCCGCTTAATTCTTTGAGGGTAGTTCTGCAGAATGCTAGGTTTTCATTGAGGGTCTGTGTGTGCGTGTTGTTGACTGAATCCAGGGTTTTGTACATGCTATGCAAGCTCTGTGTCACTGAGCCGTGTCATTAGACCATGTAAAATTTCTTATTGAGAGATTCAGGGAAAAGGCTGAAATTGCAAGCTAGTTAATTAGAACATACTTGTTCAACACAAACATTTCATATGAGAATTCATTTTTTTTAATTGTCTCCGCTTTTTTATATAGTTGATATTTTTCTCAAAGTTTAAAGCACAAAAAAGGGTAACTAGTTAACTTTCTAATTGCTTACCCCATTTCTTGAATTGAGCCTGCACTGCTTGCGTACTGTGGAGAGTGATACTTACCAAAGACACACTTACTTGCTCTTTTGTATATTACAGGCCTACTCAGTCCTTAATGTCCTGCACTTAAAGTGGGGGGATAAGAGCAAGTACCATAGATGGGTATCATGGCACTAAGTCAAAATAAGTGTTTAATCCTCTAAAGCTTAAGTTCTAATTGTATACTTGGTACATTTCTTGTGTCACCTCCCTTCCCCTTGTCTCTAGCTGTCCCAGCCAGCGGTGAGCATTGAAGGACAGGTATCAAATCCTCCATCTACAAGTAGCACAGAAGTAAATTCCCAAACAATTCCTGAGAAGCAGCCTTCACAGGAAGTGAAGATGGACGCTAAAATGGAAATGGATCAGCCAGAACCAACAGACGCTCAGCCAGAGGATATTCAGGAGGTGAGACACAAGTTACTGCAGAGAATCCAGTTTCTAAAAAGTCAGTATTCTGGGCAAGTGTTCTGATGCTTGGGTCTCACTGCAGTGATTTTCCACTGAGAGAGGACATGGAGCTATGTCCATGCTGCTAGTAAATAATGTAATGATGATTTGCTTCCAGTTCGGGGTCTTGAGACTACTAAAGATTCTTATATTTTAGACTAACGTAGAGGAATGTAAAGTGGAGCCCACAGAAACAGAAGAGAGAAACATGGAGTTAAAACCTGAAATAAAAGAAGAGGAAGACCAGCCAAGTACTTCAGCTACTCAGTCTTCTCCAGCTCCAGGACAGTCAAAGAAAAAAAGTAAATCTCTTTAGGTGCTTTTTTCTTTAGGTAACAAAAAATGCAAGAGTCCCACAGTAGAACGGAACCAGGCCTCTTCTTGGCTTTGAGCCACTGGCATTAATGTGATTTCCTTACGTGCAGAGAGCTGTGGGCCTGATACAGTGTTAGGGACGAATTTATTTTTGATGTAGACGTAGGTATTTACTGCAACTATTAATCTGTACACAACTCCATTCTTTAGATTTGGTGGTTAGCAGCATCCAGAGAATCTCTCTGTTTCAGAAGAGAGAAATTGTTAATATCCCTGACTGGAATGCAAGAATAGCAGTAATAGGGGCTGGGGATTTGGCTCAGAGGTATAAGCGCCTGCCTTGCAAGCAGGCAGTCGTGAGTTTGATCCCTGGTACCGATAAAAAGGAAAAAGACAAAAACAAAACAAAGAATAGCAGTAATAACAGTGGCATTTATGTTTTGCCTTCTGTGTCCTACTCACATTCACAGTCTCTCTTTGTTCAGCTCAGCTCTGAGGTAACTGGGCCTTGTTCGTACAGGTGGGAAAGCTGAAGCTTAGTCAGGTTAAGGAACTTTCCTCTGAGTATGTAGCGGGTGCCTCAGGTGGAGTGGCATAGGCAGGACTAGGCTCAAGGGCACATGTGCTAACTCTTGGAGGAGATGTATAGAAGTGCTCCATACATAGAATGTGCTGTAAAATGTGCAGCCTAAAAATCATTTAAGGAAGTTGTGGTGACATGTACCTGTAATCGTGGCACCTCAGGGACTGGGGCAGGAGGACTGCTGTGAGTTTAAACTCAAAATTGAATCCCTAATCTCTAGCTTTAATTAATTTCATTTGGGACATGACAGCAAGTCTTTATAGACTTTTGGGAGATGTTACTTGAGGCCACATTTGAATAACTAATTTTGTTCAGCAGTAAGCATTTAGTTCTTTCCTTTTAGACCAATAATCTATTATTTGCCATTAAAATAGAGACACTTTTTTATAGTATATACTTTCTATAAGTAACAATCACAGTCATCATAGGAAACTTGCACCAATACAAAATATGTTTTGATTTTTCTTTTTTTTCTAATTCCCATCCCCATTTATAAAAGCTTGGTTTCCATTTTTTCCATTCCATTTTCCTCAACTTTTAAAACATTTCAACGAAAGACTTCAGTGCCTTTGATTCCTCTGGTGATAAGGCACCACGTCCACCTGGTGTCACAAAGACATGCATCTTGTTCTATTTAACAGTATCCCTTGTTAACCACCAGTACCCTTTGGACTGTTACTTTGGCAAGTCTCCCTCTACTTAAGTTTTTAGAAGCTTTTGGCTTCCATTTTTACTAAATTTGTGTATGGAAAATTAAAGCTAGTAAAGGGCCTTGAGGAGGCATGCCACTTTGTATGCAGCGTACTGCAGGGTTAGGAAGTTAGCCCTGCGTCTAGATTTTCTGAGGACAGTGAGGTCACCCTTGTATTTGGTGCTGAGGTTCTTTTTAAGCTTTCACTTCAACATTTTAAAAATTCCATGACTTAATTTAACTGATCTCAAATGTACTCTTCTTAAAGTTTTTAAACCAGAAGAATTACGACAGGCCCTGATGCCAACCCTGGAGGCACTTTACCGGCAAGATCCAGAGTCCCTCCCCTTTCGTCAACCTGTGGACCCTCAGCTTTTAGGAATTCCTGTAAGTATTTAGTGACTTTTGTTTTGTTGTTTTTACTTGGTAGCAACTTCATTGAGATACAATTTCAATCTACCAGGCAGACGTTGGGTTTTTTTGTTTGTCTTTTTTTTTTTTTTTTTTTTTTTTTTGGTACTAGAAAGTGAACTCAAGATCTCGCATCTGCCAAGCAGGCACTTTACGCTGCTGAGCTAAACCTCTGGCCCGTTTTTGGTTTTTATTTTTTTTTTCTTTTTTAAACATGAATGTATATTTATGTAGTGTTCATATGTGTATATAATTTATGTTTTTAATGCCCTCTGTCCATCTATTTGTCCCCATCCTATTTGCAAAAGGTTTGTCTTCCTATTTCATATCTTTTATTTTGCTTTTTATTTTTACTGTGTGCTATTTTAAGCTTGTGTGTTTGATTGTAATTAACGTTACAGTCTCAAGGTGCCTCCATTTTCCTGCAAATGACTCAGGTTTCTCTTGATGACAGAATAGTAATACTTCATTGTGTATAAATACCATATTTTTTTAATCTATCTGTTGACAGCCATATAGGTCACTTCCAAGATTTAGGCACTGTGAGTTGACACAACATGTGTTTGAAGTATACAGTTCACTGAGTTTTCATGTATTCTCAGCATTGTATGATTACCGTAATTGTAATGCATTTCCATCACTACCCAAAAGAAACCCTGCATCCACTACATTTCCTTCTATAGCATGCCTTTACCTCCATCCCTAGGCCTCAGCAGGCTCTCTTCTGCATTTAGCTTTTAGTCTGTTCCAGATGTTAAATGAGAATATGCAATATGTGGTTTTTTTGACTGCCTCCTTTCACTTAACATTAACTTTTTGAGTGGGGGGGGCTATATTGGAGATTTAACTAGAGCCTCACACATTAGTTAGGCATTGAGCTATACCTCTATACCTCTAGTCTTAAAAATTTTTTTTTATTTTGAGCTTCTCACAAAGTCGGCCAGTCTGGCCCTAAACTTGCCATCCTCCTGCCGTAGCCTCATGGGTAGCTGGAATAACAGGTACATGGCACCACTTCAGTCCTTTATGACCTAGTAATAATCCATTATGTGGACACACCACTTCTTTCTTTACCCTATCATTAGTTGGTAGGTATTTGTCTTATCCCCAAGTTTTGTCTACTGAGAACAATGCCACTGTGAATATTCATGTACAAGTTTTGATTTAGCTTTTTGAGACAGGATCTTGCTATGTAACCCAGGCTGGCCTCAGACTCATGGTGATCCTTCTGCCTAGCCCTCTTGAGTTGGGATAATAGGCATGGCATACACCCAGCTCATTGCAAGTGTTTTTTTTTTTTTTTTTTTTTTTTGTTTGTTTGTTTGTTTTTTTTTTTTTTTGTCTTTTTCCTTTTTATCACTACCGGGGATCAAACTCACGACTGCCTGCTTGAAAGGCAGGTGCTTATGCCGCTGAGCTAAACCTCCATCCCCTCATTGCAAGTTTTTAAGATGCCATTATAGGGGTTGGGGATTTAGCTTAGCAATATAAGTGCCAGACTAGCAAGCACAAATTCATGAGTTTAATCCCTGGTGCAAAAAAAAAAAAAAAGATGCCATTGTACAGCAGGCTGTTAGAAGGTCTCATTTTAGGACTTTAAAGACCTTTGACTGTACTTGGTACTGATTTCGTAGTACATAGGTTTCATTTTACTGCCCATAGTAGCTGTTTTCTCTGAGCCACTTCATGTATGTGTGGACTAATGATTTAAAGATCTGATGGGCATCCACCAACTCTTAGGGAATACAGATAGGCCAGAAACTCAACATTACATGGAAAATTAATAATAGGAAGATACTTTTATCTGCTATAAAATATACTGCTCAGGAGTGAGTAATGTTACTTGATATCCCTTGTACTTCTAGGATTATTTTGATATTGTGAAGAGCCCCATGGATCTCTCTACCATTAAGAGGAAATTAGACACTGGACAGTATCAAGAACCCTGGCAATATGTGGATGACATTTGGCTTATGTTCAACAATGCCTGGTTATATAATCGGAAAACATCACGGGTGTACAAATACTGCTCCAAGCTGTCTGAGGTCTTTGAACAGGAAATTGATCCAGTCATGCAAAGCCTTGGATATTGTTGTGGCAGAAAGGTAAAAAATAGCTTTTGGACCTGCTGTTAACTTCTAGGATGTTGATGACTGGGGTAAGATTGTACTTCTGGCATTGACAGCCCTCCACATCCTTTTTATTGTGTTAGGGCACTAACCCAGGGCCTCAGTGCATGCTTAACAAGTGCAGTGCCGTGACCTATGTCCCCAACTCAAACAGGCCATTCTTTTGCTGCATTATCTGTTCTTACTTGCACATAGCACAATAGTATCTGTTCCCACAGAGTGGGCTTTTTTTTAAACAGACTTGCTCTGCCCAGATGTGCACCATATGCCATGTTCCCCTGTAGATGAACGTTGTCCAGCGTGTGCTCATTTTCCTGTGAATGCAAGTCAGTGTTAAGCTCCGAATGTCCCATTAGGGGCCTCTGGAATGGTGGTGACCAAAGGGTGTGACTGCTTATCTTGCCTCAGTGTGGTGAAATTATACAGTTGTAAACTTAGAATGGATTTGGAAACTGAAGTCTAACCTATTCCAAGCACTATGGCATCACTGGCTTTTGTTTCTAATATGCTATTGTTGCTTTTGTAGTTTGTGTTTCAAGCCCGTGTGCTCTTTAACGAACGGTTTCTCTTGCAGTTGGAGTTTTCTCCACAGACACTGTGTTGCTACGGCAAACAGTTATGTACAATCCCTCGTGATGCCACTTATTACAGTTACCAGAACAGGTAAGCCTGATCCTGTGTGAACCATGGTCCTTGTGTCCTCTCGTAGAGGGAGGAGTGCATGCAGATGGACCAGCACACCTATGTCATGCTTGAAAACACCTGTATGACACAAGTTCGTTCTACTCTTCGTTTCTGCCACTATTTTCAGAATTACAAAGTTTTCTATTGAAAAGTAGCCTTGCGTGAGTTGTCCAGAGCTCTTATGCATTTGTTTTGATTTTTGATGCCCAGTGCTAGGCAAGTGCTCATCTGTTGAACCACATTTCTAGTGCTGGGTCCTCACTTCATAAGGGAAAAGCTCAAGGCCTTGGGAAGTCATGCAACCTGGAAGCTGTTGGAGTGGATGAGAGTATCTAAGGCACCTTTTCCCTCTGCTGTGATGTTACTGATCACCATACCTTATATGAAAACTGAAGAATTTTAAACTCCCTAAGACACTTCAGCTAAAACTTTAGCTAAGATCTTTAGAAATGTTTTCTTTTTCTGTGTGGCCTATGCTGTTCTTAGAACATATGAGAACAGGATTTTAGACTGTTTGCTTCTAGGAAAACGTGAGTTCCCTACAAAAGTTTGCATATGGCAGATTTATACTGAGTGGAAACTTGTGCCTTATTTCTCCTGCCCAACCAGCGGCTGCAGTTACATAAATTCCATTCGTTGAACTATCTCCTGTTTTCAGTAATCAGACAACAGTATAGCTTGCACAGGCTGTTTACTGGGGCCCCCAACACAGAAATATAGCAAAGCCGGTTAGTTCACACGCTGTCGTTGTTTACTAATACAAGCCCATGATGTTGGCTTTTGAACTTGTGTGCTACAGATGCATTTCTGGCTTTGAAAATTCATCTGAACTTGTTGTTTTATTTACAAAAAGTAAAGTGTACTCCTGCTTTGTAGGCTTTAAAATCTAGTTTTGTATTCCTTTAAAACCTAGAGAAAGGGGAACAAACATTGTTATAAGTACCTTATATTAAAAAAAAATGTAACAACTGGCATGAAGCTTTTCTCTTGTTCCAGTCTTGATGTTCAAACCATTTTTAAATTTTTAACAGTATATTTAATTATGTACCTGCACACTACTACCTTTGTTTTGCCTTTTGAAACGTGTCACTTGATGACTATTACATAACGATCAGTATTTTAACTGCTTTGTGCAGGCTGTTTAGTGAAAGCTGACTTACTTAGGGCTTCCTAATTTATGTTTTCAATCCCCAGTTGTTTGTAGATAACTGTTTACTGCTCTTGCATCCATAGTGGATTATGTGTTTATTTTTTTGGAAGTGGGAAGTGATTGTCATGTTTGGGTAATGGTCAGAGTAGTAGCTCTCCCAGGCATATTTGTCATTCTTTATTCTTTTGATTATTTACATCAAGTAGCATTAATTAGTCAAATGAAAGGGTATGGGTTTTTGTAAGTGAAGCCTTTTTGTTTTGATTTGCTATTATCATTTGGTATTTGTGATCCCATTGAGATATTTAATGCTAATCTGTGCTTTGCCTTGGCTTTCTGCTTTGTGTTGTCCTGTCTTGCTTTCATGTTTTTTGTTGTCCTGCAATCCCTCATTTCTTCGTTTGTTTTGTGTTTTTTTTTTTTCTCCCTCATGCTTGTCGTTGTCTGCACTTGGCTTTGATTGCAAAAACCAAAAAACCAAACTGTGGGGCCCATAAACCTGCATCATTGAATGTCCTTGTCGCCGTTGATGACCTGCTCTCTGCTCCCGTCCCCCTCCTTGGCCTGCTGTGATTGGTGGCTTCGTTGCTTGGCTTGGGCTGTGTTGTGTGAACGGAACAGTTCACCCCAGTATGGCCTTCTTGCCGACAGGTATCATTTCTGTGAGAAGTGTTTCAATGAAATCCAAGGGGAGAGCGTTTCTTTGGGGGATGACCCTTCCCAGCCTCAAACGTAAGTAACTGCATTATTTGGGAGAAGTGTTACTTTATCTACCATGTATTTTCAGATGGTTAAGGGTGTATTTCCAAGCAGTCTTAAGGTATGCTACCCACTATCAGATCTATAAGCCACAATTGGCTATTTAAATGCAAATTAGTTAAAAATAAGAAATATATGTCAGATGCATTCTCACATTTCAGAGGGCCAGTCATTTGAAGCTGGTGACTATTATATTGGTCAACACAGAAAAAGAACATATCCCGCATCTCAGAAAGTTCAGCTAAACAGTGCTGAATAAGGAGTATGTCAGCATTGGACTACCTTCCTACAGTAAATGTGTTTCTTTTGTCTGGAAATAACTTCTTTTCTAAATATGGAAAGAATAGTTACTGCTTTTGGGCGGAGGATTTAGCTCCTCAGCACAAGCACCACCTGCCTGGCAAGTACAAAGTCATGAATTCCATCCCCAGTACCATCACCCCCCACACACACACACACACCCCAAAAAAGGTACTGCTTTCTTTGTTTGGTTGGGTTTTTTGAGACAGAGTGCCACTGTTTAGTTCAGGCTTGAACTTGTGACAGTCATCCTGCCTCAGCTTCCTGAGTGCTAGGATTACAGGCACGTGCTGTCATGCCCAGCCTGCAGCATTTTTCAGAGAAGTATTGAGTTTGAAGGAAGTTAAAATACCAAACCTTTTGTCCTTCTCTTTGTAGGTTAACAGAATACCCAAATCACTGTAATAGTGAACAGAATCTTAACAGTATGTAGCGCTTGTAACAGACCTGATTGGGCTCCTGAACTACTAACCTCTTAGTAGTAGTGTTGAAGATGGGATTTGGGTGGTTTTGCAGTACTAGGCATTAGCTCAGGTCACACAGAGCTACACTTCCTGTCCTATTTTTCATTTTGAGATTGTATCTTAACCAAGTGACTGAACTGCCCAGGCCTGGCTCAGTCTTGGATTCTCTTACCTTAGCCTCACAAACAGGACTGAGAAAACTCTTTTTCCAAATTCAGTTGCATCTTCCTCTTTGCTCCTGAAATATAGTAGAGAAGGGTCTTGCGTGCTAGCTAGTCTTGGAGAATAGTTGCTGGAATCCATGGATCCCTAAAGAGATGTCTAACTGGACTTAAACTAGAGAGGTCCATGTGCTCTAGAGACAAGTTCTATTGATGGAGGAAGGGATTTTTGGCTATTGTTGGACTCCTGGCATGACCTACATTTTTGAAGCTCTGGAGGAGCTGGTCCTGACTTTAGCTTATAGAAATCACTCCTGGGATCCAAGATATATCTCAATGGCACAGTGCCTGCCTGGCAAGCATAAAGTCATGAGTTCAGTCTCCATTACTAAAAAACAGAAATCCCTCCTGGTCTGCTCATCTGCATTTCTGTACCTCTGGTATTGTGAGTCTTTAGATCACACTGAGTAGTAGGCCTATAGGGCTTTCAGGGAGATGAATGATTTCTAGGATGTAAGCTATCTAAGAATTACCTTTAAATGTATAAATGGCCTCATTTTTAAGGAAAATGTTGGTTACCCTGAGTCACCCTAAGGTTAATTATGAGTAAAGAATGGTGAGACTGCTAGCTTCTCTATAATAGTGTGCCCCTGAGCCTTATGGTACACTGGACTTTTCTGCATGGGAAGCAATGAGACATTGCTCAGATTATGCTATGAAAGACAGAATTTGGTTAACTTTAAGAACTGAAAGTGTGCGCATTTAGAGGTTCATTTCTACAGTGGATCAAAAATAAAGGACTTGAACATCTGTAGATTTCAGTAATTTCGGTGGTTTTGGAACCACTCTTTGTCAGACTGACTGGTTTATTTTTATATATTTATTTTTTAAATTTTATTTATTTATTTATTTATTTATTGGTCTTTTTCATTTTTATCGGTACCGGGGATCGAACTCACGACCGCCTGCTTGCAAGGCAGGTACTTATGCCACTGAGCTAAATCCCCAGCCCCCTGTTTTTGTCTTTGTGAGACAGAGTCTCTTCTACGCAGTTCAGGCTGGCCTGAAGCTCACTTTGTAGCCTAAGCTGGTCTTGAATTCACAACGATCCTCCTGCCTCAGCCTCCTGAGGGCTGGGATTACAGGCATCAGCCACCACGCCCAGCAGACTGACTGATTTTTTAATGTTGAAGTTTTCCTTTGACATAAAATGTTGTTTATAATCTCCTGAAAAAGATTATTATTAAATAGCAGTTTACTTCCCACTACATAAAATCTTTTATTCCTCAGTGTAGAAACTCATTAAACCACAAAAAAATGTGTAGCATAATGGGCTAGATTTTAAAAAGCACAACAAACGTTTATTGTTTGCCCTGGATTCTCAGCTTGCTCAAAGGGAAACCTGTTCACTGTAATAACCTGTAGAACATTCCTTTGTTTAGGTGCCTTCTCGTTGCACCTTAATGAATGTCTATTCTTAGGAATCACTTAGAGTTGGGTTCCCTTTAGGTAGAACAATGGTCAGATTGCTCATCTTTATTGCTCTTTCTCACAATATTCATTTTCTCTCCTTAGTACAATAAATAAAGAACAGTTTTCCAAGAGAAAAAATGACACACTGGATCCTGAATTGTAAGTAGTTTCTCTTAAATAGTCAGCACACTTTGACCTTTCTTCTTCATTTTCTTTGTTTGCATAGCTACTCTGATGATTCTATATATTTTTATGCAGACTCTCCTTAACACAGATCTAAGTAATTAGTAGAAATGTGGAAAGCAATCAGGGGCTAAGGCTGTGAGTTACAGTACGCTTACTAACGTACATTTCACTAAATCACTTTAATGTTTTGGTATGCTGTGTTTACAGGCCTGTATGAAACAAGTTACCTCAGCTCAGTGTGATGTGTCCATTTTTTTCTCTCCATTTTCAGTGTATACTATTAACTCCTTACTTTGCAGTGAGGTTTTTTTAAAGTTTGTTTTACCTATAATATTGAAAGTTTTTTTTTTTTTTTTAAATAAAAAGTCTGTTAAACAGCGTTTGAGTTATTCTATATGACCTTAGCTATCATTTGAATTTAGGAAAATACTAGAAGCTTCATTTGGTTAAAGTTTTGAGATTAATCTTGAAATTTGCTTTGCGCTTTCAGGTTCGTTGAATGCACTGAGTGTGGAAGAAAGATGCATCAGATCTGTGTCCTTCACCACGAGATTATCTGGCCAGCTGGGTGAGACTTCATGCCAATGTTTTATTTAGAACTTTCCAGAGTTACTGTTTTTGAAATGTTTTATTGAATTGGAAAAAAATAATTATGATCCAGTTTTGAAACATTAACCTACAACTCAAAAATAAACATAGATCTTTCTTTTACTTTAAATTGATATGTATGTTATATATCAGAAGTGATGGGATGGGTTGTCTAACAGTGATAGAGTGCAGTAAATGCTAGCTGGGCATGGTGGAGCATGTCAGTAATCCCAGTACTTAAGAGGCTGAGACAAGAGGATCACCATGAGTTTGAAGCTAGCCTGGGCTAACTAGTGAATTCCAGGCCAGCCTTCACTACATAATGAGATGCCATATCAAAAAAACTAAATGTAGACATAAATTGTCCAAATTTTAAATGTTGTTTATAATAGAAAAATTAGGTATTTTGTGGCATGCCCCACACACTGTTTTTTGCTCTGTTGTTGGGACTCATGGTTGATGGCTTAGAGGTCTCTCTGGGGATTACTGTCATATGTTTATGGTATTGACAATATTTTTTATTAATATGTGTTTGCCATACATAATTCCTACATTTATCATGGGGAGTTGCTATGTTCATACATTGTATCCCACTCCCTTTTCCTTTTTGCCCTCTCTTTTTGTTGATGTACTATATTATTTTTATTTAAACATTCACCGTGTGTTTCAATCACATCTGGTTCATTTCACATCTGTTGGTTCTGCTTTTAAGACATACATTTTGTACTATTAGTACTTATACCAATATTATTGGCCAGGAAAACATTTCTGTTTTGTTGTTGTTGTTGTTTTTCCTTACTGATCTCTAAAAGCTGTTTTAGTATCGCTTTGATTAACTGTTATAGATGCAAATTTGTGAAATTGTCTTTTGAATTTTAGCTTTATTTAGATGAAAGATTTTGTCACAGAGTGTATCACTTTAAATGGTTCTCTATTTTGTATAACCAAATTCTCGGTATATATTTTAGGTTTGTCTGTGATGGGTGCTTGAAGAAAACTGCACGAACCCGGAAAGAAAACAAGTTTTCTGCTAAAAGTAAGTTTCATTCTTACAGGTAAATCTTGGTGGAACATCTCTAAACCCTAGTTGAAAGGAATCCATCCAAACTTGGGTTAGTTTTAATCTTAATTAAAATTATTTGCAGAAGTAAAGTGATTTTTTTTTTTTGTAAGCTACTGAAAGTTGAGCTGAAATGTGTTTTGGGGTATGAAATTTATTACTCCTAAGAATAAGAACATTTTTTTAGGCTGGGAACATAGATCAGTTAGCACTTAGCTAGTGTGTGCAAAGACCTGAGTTCAGTCCCAAGCACCACATAGAATTTGTGACACACAAGATGTATAAGACATATGTTTTTTATTTCCTAACGGGCCATATGTGGAAATGAGTGACCAGAATTACAATACAATGAGGGGGGTGCCCCCATGGATGTTATCCACAGCATCCTGGATGCCCAGCCAGCACTCTACCCCTGCTCTACATCCCAAGCCCTTGTTTGTTTGTGGGACAGGGTCTTGTCAAGTTGCCTGTGCTGCCTCAATTTGAATCCTCCTGCCTTAGCATCCCAAATAGCTGGCATTATAGGTGTGCACTGCCATATGCAGCTCTCGTCTGTGCTACCTACTAGAATTACCTTTAAGCTTCATGTGATCTTTCCCTTTAGAGGTAAGAGTGTTAGAAGTTTTAACATACGATTAATCAACACTAATATCACTGTAATATTTGATTTAGTTTTATAGATGCCTTTGCAATATTTTACTTAGCTATAGGATTGCTTTGACTCTTCTACTGTTTTTTAAATGCCTAGTTTTAAGATATTATAGTTGAGAGAAAATACAGTGTTCATTGTTACCCAGTTTCAACACCTGTGACACCAGAAACTTTTAAAACAATGTTGGTTTGGACATGGTGGTATATGCCCGTAATCTGAGCATTTGGGAGGCTGAGGCTGGAGGATCACTGTGAATCTGAGGCCAGCCTGGATGACATAGTGAGTTCAAGAATATAGTGAGGTCCTGTCTGCAAAACCAAAAATGAATTGGGAAATAACATTTAGAAATTACAGAGTGCCATGCTTGCTTCATGCATGTGTATTTAAATTGGAATGATAAAGGTCAGCATGGTCTGGCATCAGTATGAGACACTAGTTGACAAAATGTTTAGTTTTTAAAAAATACTACCTTGATAACTTTAAAAACTCCAGCAAGTTCCCTGGTCATGATGGTGCACACCTATGATCCCAGCATAAGAGAGGCGAGGCAGAAGGATCACTGTAACGGTAAAGATCAGCCTGGGCTATATAGAGAGACCCTGTATGTCAGGGTCTCCCAAAATCCAGCTAGTTACTCTGTATGTGTTGGGAAAACACTCCTAGCAGAGTTGAGATGGAACCTCAAGACTGACAGTAAAAATTGAATCCTTATTAAACTTTCCCCCAACTAGATGAGAGATTTAGCCTAGGACCATCCTAATAACTTAGCTTTTGCCTTCCTAGGGTTACCATCTACCAGACTTGGAACCTTTCTGGAGAATCGTGTGAATGACTTTCTGAGGCGACAAAATCACCCTGAATCAGGAGAAGTCACTGTTAGAGTTGTTCATGCTTCTGACAAAACTGTGGAGGTCAAACCAGGCATGAAAGCAAGGTACCTAGTAATTGCCTTTTTCTTTCTTAGATCCATCGTTATTTCTATCTAGATGTTACTATTGATGAGCCAACCTGAATGACATGTTGTGAACTCCACCCCTGTCTGAATTGTATAGGTTTGTAGATAGTGGAGAGATGGCAGAATCCTTTCCTTACCGAACCAAAGCTCTCTTTGCCTTCGAAGAAATCGATGGCGTTGACTTGTGCTTCTTTGGCATGCACGTTCAGGAGTACGGCTCTGACTGCCCTCCGCCCAACCAGAGGTAGGACTCATGGTCTGGCTTCTCATTTGTGTGACGGTCTCAAGTTATACCAGGTGAGAAAGCATAAGAATAAGAAAGAAAATGTTAAGTGTGTTCAGTCTGGAAATGCAAAAATCTCAAGTGTCCAGTATTGCTAAGAGATTAACAAAATAATTCAAAACAGAAAATAACTGCTCAATACTAGTCTTATTACATGGAAAGGGATATGTATGAATGGCAGCCAACAGTTGGAAATTGGGAACAAACTCATTGGTTTCAAAAAACAGGCTTGCAATCTGTATTGCAGATGATAGTTATATGTAAGAATGTTACACAAATGGAGTGGGATATGTTGTAGACAAATTTCTGTCTTCAAAAACAGTGTAAAAGCCACATAGTGATTGTATCAGAATGCAGTCAGGTCAACAAATACTGATTTAATATATTGTGTGCTTATTACTACACAGTGTTAAATACAGTGAAGCCAGAGGCTCACAGACTTCCCTAAAAGGGGGCGAGGGGTCAGTCTAGTCATTTACCAATCATTACAAGTGACAATACACACAAGATAAAAGTAGGATGTTTTTACCTACACAGAGTAACTCATTATGTGACGTGATTTTTTTTCTCCCTGTTAAACATAGGAGAGTGTATATATCTTACCTTGATAGTGTTCATTTCTTCCGTCCTAAATGCTTGAGGACTACAGTCTATCATGAAATTCTAATTGGATATTTAGAATATGTCAAGAAATTAGGGTAAGCATATCTATAATAACTTTTTTTTTTAAACTATGGCATTGTGGTGGGACATAGGCTAAAATATGTATATTTTATACATTTAAAATATGTATATTTAAATATTAAATTAAATTTTAAAATTTTTTAAAAATATTTTAAAAATTAAAATATTAAAATATGTATATTTTATACATTTAAAATATGTAACTTTCTATTTTTTCTTTCCGTAAGGAAACTATAATCTCAACTTTGGTGGACCCCTCTGAAATTAATGTTAACCAATAGGGAAAAAATGACTGCTTGCCTAGGTTACTCATCCAATCATTTATTCCGTTAAACCATTGGGTAGTTTGGAATGAAGTTTGGTTTGGTACTCACTTGAGAGCAGAATTTTTAACTTTTTAATACTGTGGTATCAAAATCAGAATCAGTTCTAGACATTTTCTTTACCTTTTGAAGTACATACACCCAGAGGAATACTTGGTACCTACCTCTTGTTCAGATGGGTTTGTGTTCCTTTACATTGTGTCTGTTTGGTCTTAGAGTACAAATTTGGGAGTTTCGGATCCAGAGCTATATTACCCTCTTATGAATGAAATTCATACTCTTCTAAAGTTCCCAAGAATTTTGATCTAGTACTGACCTGAATGCCTAATGTTGTTATCATGAGGGAAATCAGTGGTGTCTGTATTGGCTCCATCTTGTGATATAGTGTCACCCTTACCCACGTATGGTGTGGTGGCACAATGGTAGGAAGATTGCTTGAGCCCCAGGGCTGTGGGGCCAGCTTGGGCATCATGGTGAGACCTGTGATCTCTTAAAGTGTAGCATTCTGTGCAGAATGCATGATCTCTTCTTTTAACGCTCGTTTTGTCTTCTCAGATATACAACAGGGCATATTTGGGCATGTCCACCAAGTGAGGGGGATGACTATATCTTCCATTGCCATCCTCCTGACCAGAAGATACCCAAGCCCAAGCGACTGCAAGAGTGGTACAAAAAGATGCTTGACAAGGCTGTGTCAGAACGCATTGTCCATGACTACAAGGTCAGTGGGACCAAGGCAATGCACTCATTGTCCCTCACTTCATTTTAACAAGCCTTCTGCTGTCTATCTACCTCCTCCATGCAGTAGGTAAAGACTGTTCTGACTTTTTCAAAGTCAGAACAATTTGCTGTTAGAAGAGTTTGTAGATTAACAAATATTTTGTAACCAATTAAAAATGCATTTTTTGTAAGCTGTGTCAGCCACGCATTCTGCAACAACAGCCTAGTTCCAGTTCGGGCTGCTGAAGCTTCAGTTGTGGCCTGCCTAGCTAGCATCCCATCTCTGATGGGATAGGAAAGGCCACAGTGTGGATGTGAATGACTTCCCCACCTGGGGCCTGGCAGGATAATTCACCACTTATAAAGGCATATAGTACGCTTGTCTTCTGGATACAGGAAGGACAACACTAGAAGTGTGCCGACTTCAGACAGGGATTTCTCAGTGTTCATGACATATAGTGGCTTGGGTATAAAATCTCTGCCAACTTTCAGAATGTTTTCATCTCACATTTTCCTTAAGCCATGTAATCAATGCTTTTTTAAAAAAAAAATCCTATTTATGCTTGGATATTTTCATAGGATATTTTTATGCTTGGATATTTTCATAGGATATTTTTAAGCAAGCTACTGAAGATCGATTAACAAGTGCAAAGGAACTGCCATACTTTGAGGGTGATTTCTGGCCCAATGTTCTGGAAGAGAGCATTAAGGAACTGGAACAGGAAGAGGAGGAAAGGAAACGGGAAGAGAACACCAGCAATGAAAGCACTGATGTAAGGGTGATGTTTTTGTCCAGTGTTTACCTTCATTTTGACAGTAACTCAGAAATGAGCTTAAATGTCCAACTTGCAGATGGCTTCTGTAAATTGGTTAGCCTTAGAAGGTTACACTATAAACAGGTGTGCTAATACACATCTGTAATCCCAGCGCTCAGGGGCAGGAGTTTAGCTCAGTGGCACCCACACTTGCCTGGCAAGCACAAGGTCATGAGTTCAGTCACCGGTACCAAAAAAAATTAAAAATAAATAAATGTAGCACTATGGAAGGGCAAGGCAAGAAGATTGCAGGTATGAGCCCAAGTGTCAGCACTTAGGAAGACCTGTCTCTAAAAGAAAAAGTCTGGGGATGTAGCTCACTATGAGGCCCCCGAATTCACTGCCTACTCCTCCCACCAAAAAAAATCTGGTTTCTTTTACTGGTTTTCAATCTTTAACAGCAGACACCTTCCAAATCTTATATTGATGTTTCGGTAAAGTAAAATAAAAAACAAATGGAGAGAAACCCTGAAAAACTGTCAGGACATTGACATAGCTAAAAGGCTAAACAGTGAACAGTGCAGGCTCTGGCCTCTACCACCCCAACCGCTACCCCCCACTCCGGGTCCCTGTATTTTTGTTCTTTAAAATCAGTGCTGAGGACTGAGCCCATGGCCTCCTATGCTGGACAAGTGTCTGCCAGTGAGCTGCATCCCAGGCCCCTCCTGCCAACTCCTCTTTCTCTGAATGAAACTCTTTAAATGTACAAACTTAAGTATTGTGTAGTATAAAGACAAGACTATCCTGGCCTTCATGAGGACAGGAAAGAAGAAACTAAAAACACTGCCCTTGAGCCACGCCATCTCACTAGGACTAAAGTATAAAATCAGAATGAGATCGAGACACTTGGCCTTGTAATTGAAATTAATTGATTTGATAAGGTATGTTTGTAAACTTTCACAATAAAACAAAAAATTGTAGGATCCGCACACCTGTAATCCCAGCACTCAAGAGGCTAAGGCAGGCAGATTGCCATGAGTTTGAAGCTTGGGCTACACGGTGAATTCAAGGCCAGCCTGAATTACATAGTGAGACCCTGTCTCAAAAAACAAAATTCTAGGCTCTGACTGGAAAGAGGAGCTGGAGGGATGGAAGCAGTCTCACCTCCATGCACTTGTTTCCTAATCCGGATCTCAGGGTTCATCAGTAGAATTCTCAAACTCCTATGCTCTTCCTGGCAAATAAAAATTAAAACTGCCACACCATTAATACAGGGTCCTGGTCTTAAAATTAGGCCACACTAGACTACTAAGCATTAGATTGCTTTTTAAATAATAGTTAAAAAACAGGCAGTGGTAAACTAACCTTAGTGAATAGCATATGTATAATCTGTAGTTTCAAAGAACAAAATCTTTTATATTGTTTTGTTTACAGATTCATTCTTTTGGGGGGGGGGGGTCTTTTTCTTTTTCCCGGTACCGGGGATCAAACTCAAGACTGCCTGCTTACAGGGCAGGCACTTATGCCACTGAGCTAAATCCCCAGCCCCTACAGATTCATTCTTAACAAAAACTCAATATTTTTTTCTTCTTTGTGCTGCCTTGTAGGTAACAAAGGGAGACAGCAAAAATGCTAAAAAGAAGAATAATAAGAAAACCAGCAAAAATAAGAGCAGCCTGAGTAGGGGCAACAAGAAGAAGCCTGGCATGCCCAATGTGTCTAATGACCTCTCGCAGAAACTCTATGCCACCATGGAGAAACATAAAGAGGTACAACGAAGCCCCGAGGGTGGGGGAGCAGCGGGGCAGGGCTCACAAAAGCTGCCCGCACCAGTTAGCACTGACAATGGAAACACCGCGCCCCTGCCGTGTGGAGGCCTACAATCATTCCTGTGAGGGGTGATGGGGAATGAAGAGGTGCTTTAGAGTGGGGCAGTTACCCTGCATGGCTGTGTTATGCACTCAGAGGACATTAGGTTGCGTCTTAAAAGTCTCAGTCTGGGAAAGGGGCAGCGCAAGTACAGTCCAAGCTCTGCCTGAGGATGAAGTAAGAGGTTGTAAATTGAAGGCAGCTTAAATCTAGAAATCCAGAATTTGAGTTTCTTACATATGCATGCATGCATACATACATATAAGTATTTCTTTAGCATGTCGAGGGAGGGCAGATAAAATTTCTAGTAGCAGTTTGATTAATCTTGTTGATAATCCTCTTAGGTAGCAGTAGTTTTTTAATAGTCACTGCTGAACTTTTTTTCTCAGATCTTTTTTTTTCCTGCAAAACCCTCCCCGCTTTACTTCCCATTATTCCTCAAATGATTTTAGGTCTCTGTGCCAGTGGCCTGATGCTCACAAAAGTGACCGTTTTGTGGTAGGGAATAGAGCTTGATTTTTAGCTGTGGAGTTACAACTAAATTGCTCTCAGGAATGTTGCACTGGCACTGAACCTTGGGGGTACTGAAAGCATCATTTCCCATAGTCCTCTCGGCCTTCTTTGGCTGAGCACTAGCCACCCAGTGTGGTCAGCTTGGCCCCTAAGGTCCTGGAGACCTCATTCATGGCCACAGCTAGGCTGGGAAACGGAGGTGCCTGAGGTCTAGTGGGGACCTCAGTGATTAGGTGATAAATGTTAGCAGTTCACAGTTATGAGCTCTTTGAAGTAATGTTTCAAGCCGCCTGGAGCAGTGGGAAAGGCCCTGAGAATATATTGTGATGGCTTTGACTTCTGTGATAGACAGATTCATGGCTTTTTTTCTTAGGTGTTCTAGTCACAGTCTGGGGAGTTTGGTTGTAAAGTCAGGCATTGGCTTCGCTGTAGGGCTGCAAGAAAGAACTGCCTCTGTTGTGCCAGGAGCTGATGGCCAGGGATATAGCTCAGTGGCACAGCGCCTCCCTGGCAAGTGTGAGGTCATAATGCCAGGGAGTTACCCCTCCTCACAAAAGAAAAGATTTTCATTCTCCCAAAACTGAATGAAAATAGTGGGCTCCATGGCGGTTTCATATAAGTTCTGATTCCTTGAGATAACAGTGTGCTAATTAATTTCAAATGTATATATAGACATCTTTTTTACTTGAGGTAGTGCTTTGCATTTTTAATTGGTTTAATCAGCTCTTCTTTTGGTGGGTTGCAGGCATGTGGTTGAGGCAGGATCTTGCTGTGTAGTTCAGGCAGCCTTGAGCTCACTGTGGAGCCCAGGGTATGTGCCACCACACCCAGCTACTCCCAGCTTCTTGTTACATAGCCTTTATACTGAGTTCTACAGGAACTGATGGCTGTTGCAAGTCTCAACAAAATTTTACTGCTTTTAATAACAAGGACAAGGAAACCTCACTTAAAGAAATAAAGCACTAAAAAGAAACACTAATTTCAAACCTATAAGAAAGCTTCAGTGGAACTCTTACACCATTTCCTATGTTTTCTTTTTATCTGCATTGTAGCAAAAAGCTTCTAGGAAAGAAGGCATGTGTTTAGATTTATCTGATTGGTTTCTTGTGATTAGTTTCAGGTTAAACAGTAATTTCATAGACGAGGCAAAATGGCACTATACATGTGTTTTCTAGGCCTCATCGTTCTTGAGAGGGATATTCAACTAAGTGAAGGGAATAATAGAGGACGTGAACTTTAGGTGGCTCGCTGCTTCATCTAGGAAAAAGTAGAACAGGAAAGGACAGCTCAGTGTCCACGCTGCCTACCTGGTGCTGTCCTGTCCTTTCTGCCTTGGCAGCAGTGTGATGTGGACTCAAGAGTGAGCCTCTCTTCCACAGGTCTTCTTTGTGATCCGCCTCATTGCCGGCCCTGCTGCCAACTCCCTGCCTCCTATTGTTGATCCAGACCCTCTCATCCCCTGTGACTTGATGGATGGGCGGGATGCATTCCTCACCCTTGCAAGGGACAAACACCTGGAGTTCTCTTCATTGAGACGTGCTCAGTGGTCTACCATGTGCATGCTTGTGGAGCTGCACACGCAGAGCCAGGACCGCTTTGTCTATACCTGCAACGAGTGCAAGCACCACGTGGAGACACGCTGGCACTGCACTGTCTGTGAGGTAAGTGCAGGTCATGGACGGGAGGGGTCAGCACTGCATGTGCCTGTGGTCTCATGGTCTGAAGGGTGACACATGTAAGACAGCTGTGAAGTGACAGGGCCTTGGCAGCATGATAGAAGCAGAGTTGAGCATCAAGTTTTATTCTATAAACAACTCTGACAGAAGCAGAGTATTTCAGACTGAAGCAGAGTATTTCAGATGGTTTAAGTAATGGAATTGAGTTGATGTGCACATCTTCTGTGTTTTTTGTCAGGATTACGACTTGTGTATAACCTGCTATAACACTAAAAACCATGATCACAAGATGGAGAAACTGGGTCTTGGCTTAGACGATGAGAGCAACAACCAGCAGGCTGCGGCCACCCAGAGCCCAGGAGACTCGCGCCGCCTCAGCATCCAGCGCTGCATCCAATCCCTGGTCCACGCCTGCCAGTGCCGCAACGCCAACTGCTCCCTGCCCTCCTGCCAAAAGATGAAACGGGTCGTACAGCACACCAAGGGCTGCAAACGGAAAACCAACGGCGGGTGCCCCATCTGCAAGCAGCTCATTGCCCTCTGCTGTTACCACGCCAAGCACTGCCAGGAGAACAAGTGCCCTGTGCCGTTCTGCCTCAACATCAAGCAAAAGCTCCGGCAACAGCAGCTGCAACACAGACTGCAGCAGGCCCAGATGCTGCGCAGGAGGATGGCCAGCATGCAACGCACCGGTGTGGTGGGGCAGCAACAGGGCCTGCCCTCTCCAACTCCTGCCACTCCGACCACACCAACGGGCCAACAGCCAACAACCCCACAGACGCCCCAGCCCCAGCCCACCTCTCAGCCTCAGCCTACCCCTCCCAACAGCATGCCACCCTACTTGCCCAGGACTCAAACTGCTGGCCCAGTGTCTCAGGGTAAGGCAGCAGGCCAGGTTACCCCTCCTACCCCTCCTCAGACTGCACAGCCACCCCTTCCAGGGCCTCCACCTGCCGCAGTAGAAATGGCAATGCAGATTCAGAGAGCAGCTGAGACACAGCGCCAGATGGCCCACGTTCAAATTTTCCAAAGGCCAATCCAGCACCAGATGCCCCAGATGACTCCCATGACTCCTATGGGGATGAACCCACCTCCCATGACCAGAGGTCCCAGTGGGCATCTAGAGCCAGGGATGGGGCCCACAGCGATGCAGCAGCAGCTCCCTTGGGCCCAAGGAGGACTGCCTCAGCCCCAGCCGCTCCAGTCCAGCATGCCAAGGCCGGCCATGATGTCCGTGGCCCAGCATGGGCAACCTTTGAACATGGCTCCACAGCCAGGATTGGGCCAGGTAGGTGTGAGCCCACTCAAACCAGGCACTGTGTCTCAGCAAGCCTTACAAAACCTTTTGCGGACTCTCAGGTCTCCCAGCTCTCCCCTACAGCAGCAACAGGTGCTTAGTATCCTTCATGCCAACCCCCAACTGTTGGCTGCATTCATAAAACAGCGGGCGGCCAAGTACGCCAACTCTAATCCACAGCCTCTCACTGGACAGCCTGGCATGGCCCAGGGACAGCCAGGGCTGCAGCCACCAGCCATGCCAGGTCAGCAGGGCGTGCACTCCAATGCAGCCATGCAGAACATGAATCCCATGCAGGCAGGTGTGCAGAGAACTGGCCTGGCACAGCAGCAGCCTCAGCAGCAGCTCCAGCCGCCCATGGGAGGGATGAGCCCCCAGGCGCAGCCAATGAACGTGAATCACGGCAGCATGTCTTCCCAGTTCCGGGACATGTTAAGACAACAGCAGATGATGCGGCAGCAGCAGCAGGGCGCAGGGCCTGGTATAGGCCCTGGAATGGCTAACCATAACCAGTTTCAGCAACCCCAGGGAGTTGGTTACCCCCCACAGCAGCAGCAACAGCAGCAGCAGCAGCAACAGCAGCGGATGCAGCATCACATGCAGCAGATGCAACAAGGGAACATAGGACAGATGGGCCAGCTCCCCCAGGCCTTGGGAGCCGAGGCAGGAGCCAGTCTGCAGGCCTATCAGCAGCGACTCCTCCAACAGCAGATGGGGTCCCCTGCTCAGCCCAATCCAATGAGCCCCCAGCAGCATATGCTTCCAAATCAGGCCCAGTCCCCACACCTACAAGGCCAGCAGATCCCAAATTCTCTCTCCAATCAAGTGCGCTCACCCCAGCCTGTCCCCTCTCCACGGCCGCAGTCCCAGCCCCCCCACTCCAGCCCATCCCCACGGATGCAGCCTCAGCCTTCTCCACACCACGTTTCCCCACAGACCAGTTCCCCACATCCTGGACTGGTTGCTGCCCAGGCTGCCAACCCCATGGAACAAGGGCATTTTGCCAGCCCAGACCAGAATCCGATGCTTTCTCAGCTCGCTAGCCATCCAGGCATGGCAAACCTCCATGGTGCAAGTGCCACGGACCTGGGACTCAGCACCGATAACTCAGACTTGAATTCAAACCTCTCACAGAGTACACTAGACATACACTAGAGACACCTTGTAGTATTTTGGGAGCAAAAAAAAAAAAAAAATTATTTTCTCTTAACAAGACTTTTTGTACTGAAAACAATTTTTTGGAATCTTTCTTAGCCTAAAAGACAATTTTCCTTGGAACACATAAAACTGTGCAGTAGCCGTTTGTGGTTTAAAGCAAACATGCAAGATGAACCTGAGGGATGATAGGATGATACAAAGAATATATTTTTGTTATGGCTGCTTCCCCAGCCTTTTCCCGCGTGTGTGTGGTTCGAGTGTGCACTGGGAGGAGGCTGAGGTCTAAAGCCGCCAAATGCTCCTGCCTTGCACCTCCAATAGGTTTTATTATTTTTTTTAAATTAATGAAAATATGTAATATTAATAGTTATTATTTACTGGTGCAGATGGTTGACATTTTTCCCTATTTTCCTCACTTTATGGAAGAGTTAAAAACAAAAGAACATTTCTAAAACCAGAGGACAAAGGGGTTAATGTTACTTTAAAATTACATTCTATATATATATAAATATATATAAATATATATTAAAATACCAGTTTTTTTTTCTCTGGGTGCAAAGATGTTCATTCTTTTAAAAATGTTTTAAAAAAGCCTTTCCTCCCTTCAAGTCAACTTTTGTGCTCCAGAAAATTTTCTATTCCGTAAGTCTGAGCGTAAAACTTCAAGTATTAAAATAATTTGTACATGTAGAGAGAAAAATGACTTTTTTCAAAATATACAGGGGCAGCTGCCAAATTGATGTATTATATATTGTGGTTTCTGTTTCTTGAAAGATTTTTTTTCTTTTCTTTTTTTTTTTTTTTTATATCTAACAGGAAAAAATGAAAGAGGGTAAGAAACGATTCCGGTGGGATGATTTTAACATGCAAACTGTCCCTGGGGTTTCTTCTTTGCTTGCTTTCTTCCTCCTCATCCTGCCCCTCACACCCCACACACAAAAACCTTCTGTAAAACTTGAAAATAGAAAGCAAAAACCCTCAACTGTTGTAAATCATGCAATTAAAGTTGATTACTTATAAATATGAACTTTGGATCACTGTATAGACTGTTAAATTTGATTTCTTATTACCTATTGTTAAATAAACTGTGTGAGACAGACACTCAGGCTTTGATTTGCTTTTTGAGGGTGTCTTAGGTAACAGCCATTTTAAGTGCCCGATGCTTAGGATGTGAAGCGTTTGTTGTTTATAGGCGCCTCGGCTATTCTGTACAATGAATTCTCAAGTTGATGAATTTGTCCAAAATTCAGGGAAAATCCAAGGCATTACTCCCAAGTACATCAGATTTTCTTGCCTTTTTTTTTTTTTTTTTTTAACATCAGATACTCTTTATCAGTCACGTATCAAGGTTGAAGTGATGCTAGTCTTGTAACAACTCAATAGGACTTCTGAGGTTCTCAAAGGATAAAATAAAAAGGTCCAGTAATATTTTACAAGATGGAAAATGAGCACCATAATGGATCATTCTGCCCCAGTCACAAGGAAGTCCAAAAACAGCCCTGAAAGCAGGAAGTACTATCTTTTACTTTATACACTTGGTTAACTAAAAGGAGCAAGATGAAAGGAAATACATACAAATCCTAGACAGCTGGGTAACATTACAACATGCGATGATACAGATAAGGTCCCCCAGCTTCCCTTTGCGTTCAAGAAATACAATCTCAACATGATTTACAGAAATCCATGCTCATGATGAAGTTACTCTGTTCAAAGAAGATATAGACCAGTATCAAATGATAAAATACTTGGGTAAATTTAACTGCAGAAAATAAAAAAACACGCTAAGCTGCACATTATTGAAAGACAATAAATACATGGGAAACATTCTACTTTATGGATCAGAAAACGTTAAAGCAATAATCTACTGATGAGAGATTACTTAGAATTATTAGCTGGTATTGGTAGAATAGCCAAAACAATCCTAGAAATGGCAAAAAAAAAAAACCCAGAACATCTAGATAACATTTCCTGATTTCAAAACTGCTGTGAAGCTGTAGTAAACAAGACAGGAGAGAAGGGCATGAGGACTCAGATCAGTGGAACAGAACTGACAGCAAGGAAAACTGGTCGATTGATGTGTTTCAAAGTTGCCAAGACAATTCAGCTGAGACAATCTCCAACAGTGCTAGCATAACTACGATTTACATTTAAAGGAATGAAGTGGGACCTACGTGTACCTCATACCAAAGCTAGGTGGCACACACCTATAATTTTAGCATTCTAGGAGGCCAAGGTAGTATGGTCACAAGTTAGAAGAGTCCAGATAGAGCAGTGTGGGTCTAAGCAAGACTACCTCCAAATAAATTAGGAATTAGGTCTAAATTGTGAAACCAAATTCTTCATGATCTAAAGTGGGTCCTGGTTGGAAGGAACAGGTTACTGTTCCTTTAGAACATACATCTCCCATCCTGCTGTTCTACTACTTGATTGCCATCTGTAGAGCACATTTCCTCTACTAATACCTTCTGCCAGGCCACTTCTGCCTTAGATTGGATCTTCTGAAAACAACCAACAAACCTTTCCTCCTTGAATTGTCAGGCATTTAGTATGTTGTCCTAGCAGTGAAAAAGTAAAAAGATTTTGTTACCAGAGTAGTGGTTCATTGCTGTGAGTATAAAGCTGACCATGTTGTTCAGAATCTTTGGAACTGTTTCATGGGAAGAATTTGGCAAGCTTGGAGATGCTAGCTAGCAAAGTTCTGGAATGCTGTAAACAGTGTAATGGGTGAGTAGGGTCAGAACTTAGAATGCTGACAGAAATACTGATCTTGTTTTTTTTTTTTTAAAGCCAGGGCTTGGACTCATGACCTCATGCTTGCCAGGCAGGTGCTTATGCCACTGAGCTAAATCCCCAGCCCCAGAAATGCTGATCTTAAAGGCCAGACTCAAGAGATTTCTGCAGGGAAGAAGGCTCCACTGGCAATTTGACTAGAAGCTATATTGTTACACTCTAGTAAAAAGTATGTCTGCTTGTCACCATCTCCTGAGATTTTGCAGGATATCTGTGGACTAATTGATATGGTGAAGGAACTTTCAAGGCAGCCCAATGTTCATGCCATAGTATGGGTGCTGCTTGTGGCTTTTATCCAGATCAATATTACAATAGGGAAAACACCAAAGCTGAATGATTTGAAAAGTTTCATGAGTAGAAAGTGATTGCTGAAATGATTAGCCTTAAAAAGAAGCCAAGTAGCCAGGTGTGGCACTCAGGAGGCTGATGCAGAAAAATCATATGTTCAAAGCTACCCTTGGCTACATAGTGAGCTCCAGGACAGCCTACAAAAACCTGTCTTTTGGGGCTGGGGATTTAGCTCAGTGGCATAAGCATCTGCATTGAAAGCAGGCAGTCGTGAGTTCGATCCCTGGTACCGATAAAAACGAAAAAGACAAAAAAAAAAAAACCTGTCTCAAAAAAAAAAAGGGACTGGGGATTTAGCTCAGCGGCATAAGTGCCTGCCGTGCAAACAGGCGGTCATGAGTTCGATCCCCAGTACCGATAAAAAGGAAAAAGACAAAAAAAAAAAAAATGTACTTTGTATCAGAACAATAAGAAAGACGGTATAAGGATGACATTTTAGGACTGAGCAAGACCTCACCCCATATGTCACAGCCTCAAAGAATATGTCACAGCCTCAAAGATAGAAAAATATAAACCACTGATTTAAAAAAAAAAAAAAAAAGTCCCTGTGTTTCCTGATGGGGAAGGGCTGCATAAGAAATTGGTTCCCTGGGATTCATTTCACTGTGCTTAACTATTCAGGTATTCAGTATACTGTAGCTGTAGTCCAAGGTGACTAGGCTACTGCTGAGCTGATGGCAGACTTCGGCACTGTCCACATCTGTGGTCCCAGCACTTGGGAGGATGAGGAGGACTGGCACCCATGTAGTCATCCTGGGCCACATAGTGACTTCCAGGGCACCCTGAACTTCAGAGCAAGACTGTCTCAAAAAATTTTTTTTGATGGGAATAATAAGATTTCTATAATAAAGAGCACTTAAAGAAATTCATGACCAGTACACCAGAAAATCCTCAAGAGACAATGAAGGTAAAAATGACGAAAGGTCTAACAGAATGACTATACTAGGTAGGGCAAGCAGTTACTTAGAAGGGAGAGACAGGGAGTCAGCAACAGGAAAATAAGGCAAATACCTGTTATGGTCTGGATGTTCCCCAAAGCCTCATGTGGTAGTAGGTGGGCTTTTTGTTTCCCCTTAGGGTCTTGCTGTGTAGTTCACAATGGTTTTGAACTCACTTATGTAGCCCAGGCTGGCCTTGAATTCATGGCAAACTTCCTGCCTCAGCCTCCTGAATGCTGGGATCACAGGTGTGTGCCAGCACGCCCTGCTATAGAAGGGGCTTTTTCAGAGGCAGCTGAATCTAGAGTGTGCCATTACTAAATGAGTCTGCTGATTGGTTTGGCACCAACCTATTCCCAGTGGCCTGGACAAAGTGTAAGGAACAGTAAGAGGCCTGCCTTGTCCGTTATTGCTTTGCTGCCTTCTGCACACCATGAACTGCATCTCCGCTGAGACACCTGTCAGCCACACCACCCTGCCCTTGCAGCCTTGATTACGGACTGGCACCTCTACAGACTTTGAGCTAAACAAGCATTTAACTTGTGTGGGGTATTTTGTCTCCGCAAAGAGAAAAGTAACTGGGACACAATTTGATACTAGAGAAGTGGGCTCCTTGCTTTGATCTACCTGACCATGTGGTTCAGGAGCCTTTGGGACTGAGTCATGGGAAGAGTTTGGAAAGATTCAGAGATGCTTGATGAAAAAGCAGCCGTAGATTGTGTGAGGCCATACTTGATGGGAGATCCTGGCCAGAGCTCTGAAGACCACTCCAAATGGCAGAGGGGAAAGAGACGCCCAACCTGCCAGATGTCCAGTACAGTCATGTTGTCTAAAATCAAGAATGAATTTTAGGGACAACAGAGGTTAAGAACAGAATTGTTGGGAACTGTTGAAGCTGTAAATTGACCACACATGCAGGGCCGTGGCATGGCCAGATGTGACCATACCAAAAACAAAGAGTGCTCTGGTCAGCCACATGAAGAAGGTTCTATAGCCCAGAAAAACATCAAGCCACAAACAATCCAAATAATGGGTTGCTAGGCAGCGAGGCTGAAATTGACATCATCCTTCCCAGTATTAAACATGCTGAGGCTGGGGATTTAGCTCAGTGGCATAAGCGCCTGCCTTGCAAGCAGGCAGTCGTGAGTTCAATCCTTGGTACCGATAAAAAAGAAAAAGGAGAAAAAAAAATGCTGCATTGGTTAAAGCCTACCTTTCCTCCCATCAAGAGGATGAGGACTTCTCCTGACCCCAGCTTTTTTTTTTCTCATCCTCTCAAGGTCCTTCACTCCAAGAACCTCAAGAGCTGCATAACTTGCAGGGTATGGTGCCAAAATATGGACGGGGTAAGAGATTGAGGGGACACTTCTCATGTGCATACAACTTAGGGGGAGAAGTGCACTGGTACAGGTCAGTAGTCATCACTGGAGTGTACTGATACTGGCTTCATCAGGTGTAGGGGGCATGGAAACTCCCTTATTCTCTAGGGCCAGTTATAAATGGGCCTGAGAGAAACCCCTTTCCAAGAGGGGGAAAGAGGTGTATTGATTTCATTAGTGGTATAATTATGGAACAAACAACTTTTGAAGAATCAGAAATGGAACTTTTTGTTGTATGCTTGACTCCAGTATTTACTTTTCTTTGGTGGATTTTGACTAGGAAATGTCTTGATGAGTGTGGGCTTGTTGGGATGCCCACAAGGAATTTGGCTTGGAGCAATATTTTAAAATCAAGTCCTGAGCAGGGAAAGAGATGGCAGAGTAATAGAAACTCCAATAAAGTTTAATAAGCTTTGCTTAATTATATAAGGAAGGAGAGATGGGGGATAACTCTTCCCCAGAAGAGGAGAGCTGTGGTGCAAATTCGATCTTACAATACCCCATATTTTTAATTGAATTACAAACAGCTATCTCTACTTTTTCAACTCAGAGAAATTTGGCTGCACACAGGTTAAAACTTTCACCAGTAAGGGAGCAGAGCCCTCTGCTTTGTCTTCCTTGAAATTACCACTAAAAAAGTCAGACA